ACTTTATCTCCCTTAGCCCATTGCCAGCAGTTTGGGTGTGCAACACAACTCACATGCTGGTACTTTCGGAAACAAGGAATCTCTTAAAGTTTATGACCCATGCGCTACGGTTGCATGTTTGGCATCAGGTTCAGATGTTGTCTTGCTGAGATGATAAAATAAACCGAATCTTACAATCACATCAGTTTCATCAAGTAAATATACTTGTGTTATGTTATCCCTGAAATTCGGCAGAATTTAGCTTTTAATCCTTGAGGGTCAGTAGACTGTTTTTTTGTGGGTTTATCGTTAGCACGTCTTCAGCCCGCAGGTGCAGCTCTACTCGCCAGTACTTGTTGCGTCCTTTACCAAAGTTCACAAACATTTGAATTATTCATCATACTAGCATCAATTACAACGAAGAGGCGGATGAACAACATACCAATGATTTAGGAGCGTAACCTGCATCGAAGCACTGTAGTTTGGGTCATCCTCCGGTCCTCGTTGACAACAGTCCAACAATGTCAAGCCCTACAGGAAATAGAAATTATACCGTTTCCGGTCTTTACTCTCAAATTAAGAGCCATTTTGAGAAAGTTATTGTTGCGACTTTGGATACTGTTTCTGTCAGTGAGTGAAAGTGAGGGGAAAAATACACTTGGATAGAAACTTTCGATGAAATCTTATGCTACTAGTTTTGCTAAAATGTCTTCTACTACGCAGTCACACAATGACTGACTCATCCTACGTGACTGTGGCGAAAACACTAACATCTCAAAATTTTGAAAACACTTTTTGTCTGGGGTCTCAACCTCCTTTGAAACAAAATGTTGAGCTTGTTTGCCACGGTATTTAGTTATATGAATGGCTTGTTGATAGCAGTAGTCTTAATTTAGTAGTAGCAACAGGGTGCCATAAGGGCCTGAGTAAGGGCAATAAATATAATGTACAGATTATTCCTGGTTTGTCTGGTAGACATCACCTAACAAGAAAACACATATAAATACACTCTGCTTGCAGTTGAACAAAAACATTTGATTTTATATAAGATCAAGATTGTCACAATAATCATAGAGACCACATCTCAGTGGTTGCCACAATACTAGACTCATATGTGAGATATATAACATGTTATGGCAAGTTCTGCTATGAGGAGGGGAATGTTTCCAGGTTGGCAGGTTGTAATTGCTCTTGTGATAACCCTTCAACACACACAACTGTATTTAGCGAGTTTTTTTTTTTCTCTGGCAGAAGAAAAAGGAACATTAAATGTTTTATGAGAGATTTCAACAAGACTGACAAATGGCTTACAAGACACGTTCCGAAAAAAGGATTAAAACCCCTCAGTCAAAGATCTGTTAACCAAAATATTTTCATGATAAAGTGAAAAAAATGCAACTCATGAAATAAGCTAGTTTTCTTTGCCAACATAAGCAAAAGTAAAAGAAATTCCAGTACATTATCTGTCTTAAAAACTTTTAAAAATGAAAAGAAATAATCAAAAAGACTACAAAACAAGAATCTGCTTTAGGACTGTTTCTGGTCAGATCCCAGATGGAAAGCTCGCACCTTTTTGTAAAACTGGCCAGGAGTCTGATATAAAATATATGAATGCAAGATTAGAAACTTGGTCCTACAGCATATTCTTTTCCAGTCTTACAGCATTTCCTCTCCTTCATAAACAGCAGGTAAGCCTCCCTGCCTCTTGCTGCTCACACTTTTTCAGCACATGACCTTGAACCAGAGGGAGTAGCAGGTAATGAAGTATTGGCTGCAGTATATCAATTCAGCATAACAAAACAATGAGTCAGAGGCCTAACAGTGCTTTCACCACTTTAACCATTTTTTCACTTTCCATACTGAGTGAAACAGTCTTTTAAAAGATGTACATAATCTCTGATTGAACTAATGTAAAAAGAATAAAAAGCTGACTTCATGTCAGGGATGGGTTTAGAGAGGTAAAAACAACACTCTGATATGTGTAGCTTACAGTAACAGAGCTAAAACCAAATTAGATTTAGTTTTACAATTAATACTGACTTCAACTGCTGTATTCACATAAAAATTCCTTCAAGCCTCTTTCTGTGTCAGATCTTGTGATAATCCTAAAGCAATAAATATGAAGTATTAAATGTGCTTAACTTTATAAATTCATTTGCCTTTATGAACCGTTTGTCTGGGTTTGACTGTAAAGTTGTCAACATAAGATGAGTTATGTAATTTAAATATCTTGCAGTGAAAGGAATGTGCCTTAAGGCGGGATCCTGTGGTGAAACATGTACTGCACGAAGAGCTTCTCCTGGGCCTGTCTCAACTCATACTGCAGGCATTTCCAGGTACTGTACAGCACATGTTTGGAAAAGTGACCTTTGTCTCGTGTCAAAACAAGAAATGCTTCTGCGATAATTACATAAAATTCACGTTCTCATTGATACTCTGTCAGTCACATAGTTCAGTGAAGTGTGGCCTTTTCTTTATAATTTATTCACACCCAGATTGTTAGCTGCAATTACAACATAAAGGTGAAGCAGGATTACCGTTTGAACCTTAGTTCCAGTGATAGCTGGCATGAAGTCTTTTGGCAAATGTAACTACAACCTACCTGACATGACCTGTTGGCTTGATAAGAAACTAATGTTGATAGCTTACCTTTGGATTTCTTTTATATCCTGTATCATCTCCTTAAATGCCTCTTTAACCTCATCTTCCCTCTGTTTTTTTTCATAATCATCTCTAGGGAAAGGAGCAAACTGATAATATAATGGCACTGCTTTGCTATAATTGTCTTTTTAATTTGATTTTCAGCAGGAAAAAAGACAGAGAGCTTTGACCCTGGGTTTTCAAACACATTTGTGTATCTATTCAGATAGAGAGTTAAAATTATCTGTATTTATTTTAAACAGTTTTTGCTGAAAGTGTTTACGAGGATACAGATCATTACCTGGAAAAAATGTTCATTTTACTTCAGGGACATTAAATAGGTTGTAGTTCCTTTTCACGTTCCCTGTACTACCCAAGAAAAAGACAAAACAGTCTCTTTTTGTACACCACCCTATCTGGCAATGACTGTGCAGGGGAAGAAAGCCTCCACGAGCCAGATTTAGGTCCCTAGTCCAGAACAGCTGTGAAAATGATCCCTTTCACAGAAATTACAAGACTATTCAGAGGGAGTAGGTGGACTCTATCCCACTTTCCCACCATAAAAGGCCTCTCCTTTCATTCTTTTCTCCTCTATCTGAGACTTCAGGCATAATAGCACCGGTGAGATGGGAGTATGGCTGAAAAAAAGAAAAAAACACCTGACAGGGAGTGATGCGAGCCAAGCAATCCTGCAAATGAAGCCGCTGTGTGAGGAGATGATCCAACGTGATGGAAAGAGTTGCGAGAAGATAAAAAAGTACACAGACACGTTACATAAGAGCTGTCCCATGGTTGACTGGATATGCACTCGCCTCGTACATGTGTACACACATCTCACATTTCCAAGTCCAACGTGTACATGTCTTAATCCTGAGATGAGGAGTATTAACGGTGCTCTCAGGCCCAGATGACTGTCTGCTCTTTGTTATATTTTATTTACATCCTGTTTCTGTGGGCAAAACTAACGCACCAATGACATAACGTGTGTGTCTTGGTGTGCATGTCCATGACAAGTGCTTGTACAAAATAAGACTTGGTGTGTTTGGGACTGTCAGTTGTGGTTGTAACTGTCTGTCTGAAAAGGAATACTGTGTAAGGGTCTACAGAACACCTACAAACAACTCTGTTTACCCTCCAGAACAAAGACATGCTAGATGTTGTTGCCTCTCTGATTCTTATTTACCAGAAGAGCATAAGTCACAAGTCTGCTTCCAGCCAGAATATTAAAGATGTCACAGGAAGAAAATGTTAACCCTTTAAGGACTTGATTGAATGTGTTAATACTCTGTTTGATGATAAAACTTTATTAATATGACTTTTTCTGCATTGTTGAAATAGTTTCAGCAGTATTATAAGTATTAAGAACCATAATATGTTTGCAAATTACACTTTTGCTGTAAGTTATCAATTAAAGGTGGACTAAGGCAATACAAAAGTGATTCTTTAGCTCTGGGGGAAGGTTCACTTGCCCAAGGTGGTTTAATAAAGGGGTTGAGTTTATGGTTTAATGTTTTCAAAGAGTGTCCTCCAGTGGTCATTTATAACTGTTACACCATTCACAATCAACATTTTTTTAACCTCACAATCCTGTCTAAACAAACGCAAATCTAAAACCCAAATGATACATTTCACTTTTGTGAAGAATAGAATCTGTTAAATCTAAATATCCTGTACTATACCAGTATGATTTCGAGGAAAGAGTCACTGAAGTATTTTACAAGCCAAAACAGTCATTCCAAAAGAGGTGACTCGGAGGGATTATTTTAACCTTGGAAAGTCCTCCTACTAAACTGTTACTCATGCTTTAAGTTACGAGTTTACTGGTTGTTAACATAGGAGTACTACAGTATCTTTATTTTGATAAAATACAGTGACTTAAAAAAAAAATAAAAAAAAATTTAAATGCTTAATGTCACCAGTGTTTAGATGAAAGTCCATGAGGAAGCTTAATTCTTCAATGTAGTGGAATTTTTACCAATCCTTTATTGAAAGCCTTTTAACTTTTTCCTTTACCTGCTGGTATAATGGGCTGGTATGAAGAGCTTCATCAAAGTATGCTCCTTGATCATTGGAGCTCACCAGAGGGACTTGGGTACAATCTAGGAGGAACAAGTTACTGAAAAAGCAAAACAAATTCTCAGCCAACCAGATCATGTTCTGGCAAATGAGTTTTCTCTCATGCCTTCAGGCAGACGTTATAATGTGCCCACACAGAAAACCAATCACTACTCGAAATCTTTCTTTCCCTCTGCTATCAAGCTCCTAAACATAGGCCACACCCATTTTAAATGACTTTTATTTAGATGACATTATTTATCTACTCTTATTTTTTTTAATCTTGTATTCCCATTTTTACAACTGTTTACAGTTTTTGCATTGCCTTGTTTTTACCTCACTTGTTTTTTTTTTAATATTTTATCCTATCTTGTTTTATCTTGCTCTACGTTTAGTATACGTAGGCTACTTGTAAAGTCCTGACATCTCCCTCTGTCCCATGCTTAAACATGTTTACTTGACTGACTGATTGATTATTTATGTATGCTATTGACTGACTGTATAAATGAATGAATATGCACTGGAGAGCCACAAATGAATTGCCCCCCTGTGGGATAAATAAAGTTGTCTGAACTGAACATCCGTAGGTCCTCAAAGCTGTAGATCACACAGATCATTGGCCAGGCAGCCGAATATTACAAATATTAAGCCACTCTGGTGTCAGTTGGGGTGTGAGCTCCCTCTGCAGGGCTGGTGCCTGTGGTGCTGCTGATGTTTCTGTAGAGCTGCTCTGGCTGTGTGAGGGCGGGTTATCTTTGGTCTATCCAGGACTTTGCATTTAGTGGAAGTGTGAAGATGGCTGCCAGACTGTGCACTAGTCCAGTCCATCTCTGCACTGTGCAAAAAAGAAAATATCTCAGTCAAGAACTATTAAGTTTGATTTGGTTAAGATGCATTATAAAATGAATTTATATTGTGGCCCTAATGTGCAAAACACAAGGAAAATTTTACACAAGAACAGATCAGAAAACACAACAATATTAACTTCAAAAGATGACGTGAATTACCATTAAGTAAAGGGACACACTGTCTACAAATACATGAGGAAATCAAAAACAGTATCCTGGTACACTAAGTCAAAAAGGTCGGATTAATTGATTTATTAAAAATCTGAATTAGATTAATCAGTTAAAGCCACTACAAACTCAGTTTTGTTTTCATTTATTTATAAAACTTATAGTTATCAAAGCCTTACCATAAACCTGTGAGCCTTTCACCAAGAGCAGTTGCTGGAGGTGGGTGGGGTTTGAGTGACGGAGCGGGCAACAGTGTCAAATCTGTCCTGGTTAACTTCTGGAAGCCCTCAGGTGTAAGGTCCGTTTCTTCTGCAGATGAAAATGTTCCAGACAAACCTCCTACTCTACTGAAATGAGGTAAATTTTCCCTCAGACTGGTCTGGCTAAGTCGAAGCCTACGTGCACGGGTCCCTATTGGCTTCTGATTGCAAGAAGCTGCTGTGGCACTGAGAGGTGGTGAAGGGGAAGGTGTTGCATCTGGGGACAAAGACAACCGAGCCACTTCAGGGGATAAACCTCCTCTATGATACTGATCTACAAACCAAATACAAGCAAAAGAATTTGTTTAGTAACTTGATCTTTTGTGGGTTTTGATGATGTTGTATGAATTCCTTTTTTAAAAAAAAGCTGTGTTTTCATTCATTCAATAACTACTTACCTGGAGAAGGAGACTGGAGCAAGGAACCTGAAGAGGTAGTCACCAGGCTGTCTCTAGATGCCCCCCGTCTAGACTCTTTGTCACTGCTGCAGCTCATTTTATCATCAGAGCCATTTTCCTCTTCATCATCATTGTCGTCATCATCATCATACCCCTCTTCTTCTTCATCACTGTACTGGATAGATAGAATCTGTGGTCCTCTCTCTGTCTTTATAGCTTGGAGACGCCTGAAAAAAACAATGCATTTGTCAGATTTCAGTCATATTTTGTTTACAAATATCTGCTCTTGAAACAAAAAAATGCCCACCAGTACAGTAAGCATTTTGTGGTTATGATGAGTCCAATAAGTCATTACTGGATTAACCTACCTACATTTTCTGTATCTACCTATCTAAATGAAACCTACGAAGTTTCCAGTATTGTGTTTCCAGGAAAAAAACAGGTTCAGGTGTGTAAGAAGTTAGCACCTGCCATGCTGCTCCCTCCAGGCTCTCAGCTCAGCAAACACATCATCACACTTTCCCACATCTGGCTCCTCTAGGTCATAGGTGTGTTCCGGTACATGAATAGGCAGGTTGCGAGGACTGAAAGCAGACCTCGTGGGTGCCGTCTATGGGAGGGAGCAGACAGGGAATGGAGTATGAAGGGTAGGAGAGGAAACTAGAAAACTTTACAGATTAATGGTCTGCGAGATGAGAAGATAAATTATGGATGGACACAAGAGTCTGAGAGAAGGAAGATTAGGAGGGCAAAGTAAGAGGAACACACAGAGTGGCAGCAGCACTCTGTTCATACTAACATGACATGCTGGTTTTATGTGGTCTTTTTTAAGACCTTGCTACTAAAGCAGCATTAGCATCCAAAGTAATTTCTTTTCTGAAAATTTGATGTTTTCTTATCTAAATGAAGAAATTTAGTGCAGTTCTCTTCCAACGCAGAATACCAACCTTCAGTTTTTCTCGCCTCGCTCGGATTGCTTGGACTGGGTTTCCACAGAACAAGATTTTGCCGGCTCCTTCAAAAATCAAAGCAAAAAAAAAAGATTTCAATTATGCAAACTGATCTCTGACACCAAAGAGGTCCTCTGGGGGGCACTGTTGAGTAAAGCTTATGGGTGATGCTTATAAGAAGGGAATTAATAAAGCAGTAAAACCAAATGTAGAGAAGGAAATGGATTTCATGGCGAAGTGCCTGACCATGAGTCAGACTGCTGGTTTCTGTATCCACCGTCGATAGATCTGAGTCTGAAGAGCCCCGGCTTGATCCAGGAGGGGAAAGGACTCCAGGTGTGTTCGCTGACATGGGTCTGGAGCCAGAGAGGGGCCTGGGGCTTGTTAATGACAGGGGGCGAGTACAGGAGAGGCCGGAATTTGGGCGTTTGGCTAAGCTGTTTTTGCTGTGAGCACCTGCACTGTTCACTGTTTCCTCTACAAAGTGAAGAAAAAAACAAAGAGAGATACATGATAAATACATGGCTGTGTGACACTGGTTGACTCAGAACATCATCTGTGTGTACACACACCGTCTTCAGGAGCAACTTGAGAGGAATTGAAGTTTCTGATGGAGTCTCGGAGAACTGCCCAGTCTTTTCCGATGGTGCTGGTGTAACTACATCCCTCCTCCTCCACCCGAACATTGTCAAGGAAACGCAGCTGAGGGATCATCTCCCTCACTGCAGCTCGATAACTATAGTTTACCATCTGGGAAGAAGGTTTTGGGAAGGAGAAAAGGAAAAATGAGCCAAATTAATACTGATACACCTTACCCACACGATATAGGATTTTATCACATGTATCAGTGCCTTTTTGGATCAAAGAAGCAGGGAAAAGACATTAAGTTATTATGCAGATAAATAAATAAAAAGTACGATCAAAGTCTGCAGTGGACATTTTCTATTTAGGACTGGGTGTTGATCAGCACATGGAGAGGCAGAGAGAGCAGGGAGAGTCCAGCAACTTGCCAAACTACTTAGCAATCAAATTTGAGCCTGGCACTATGGCCCCTTCAACAAACCACACAGATCCAATGAATGAAAAAGCCAGTGAAGGGCTGGCAGGGAGGAAAGGGAAGAGAAAAGAGGAGGAGAATGAGGTCTGGGTGAGAGGAAGTGAACGGATGTGTGTTTGTGATGGAAAGCAAGAGAGCAGGAGGAGTGATAGTTTGGCAAGAGAGCAAACCCAAGAAGCCCCCAGTCACTACAAAGCACAGGCCTAATGCATATTCAGCTCAGCGTCTCCACTCATTGCCCCAGTTTCCTAATTAATGCTCTGCTGGTGGGTGTAAATAAGCACATTCACAGGGGCCTCAAAACTTACAGAACACTGTGTTCTGAATCAGCAAAAGGTAGAGATGCAGCTTCTACAAGGACAATATAATCCAGCTACACTGAGTGTCTCTGGATCCAGTCTGAATCAGACTTTAGTGAGCGGCCTTATTCTTATGTTTTTAAATTTACTCTAATGTAATGAAAAACATGTGAGAGTGTCAGTCAAACATATGGTTGTTATGTTTGATTAGTTTGATGACTCCTCCTCTCCCACTGTGCTTCCTGTTGTTTAAGACTCACATAAAGAGCATACACAGCCATAAAACAACACTCCTCTGATTTGACTGCGCAGCCAAAGAAGTGTCACCACTTCGAAAAACAGCAGAACACACCACTTTGCCAAGCTCCATGCTCAAGCTTAGCCTTATTTCCAGCTGTGATTTTTTATCCCCCTCCTACTTAATTGTTGTGACCTTTGTCTTTGCACAACTTAGTATCAGCTGCTTCAGGTGGCAATAATCCACAATTTTAGCTGTACTTTGCTGCATTGCACTGTTTTTTTTTTTCTCAATCTGGAAAAGAGTCTGATCTTTACATTCTATTGTAGCTTTCCAAGTACCTTAAAAAAGTCCCTTTAGACAGAGAATAGGTCCTGTATATTTGTGTGGCACGCCGCTGCTGTTCCAAAAAACCACCCACAGCTCAGCGAGGTTTCGGAGCTATAATGGCAGAAAGAAAGACTTCTACAGTGGCCAGTGATTTACACACGCACATCAGATGTTATATGTGTACACTTTGTGGTGTGTATCATTACAAACAAAGAATATAAAATATATATAAAAATATGTGGTAAACAAAAATTACGTCTAGTTATGCTCATCTCTTCACCCCAGTGCAGGTGAGACAGCCCCTTATATAGCCTACTGGTGTTCAAACACAGTGCCAAAGTGATCCAAAACCCAGCAAAACCATTGACAACCAGACAAAAGTCATTGAAGACAGGATCACGGATCAGCAAAGCAACATTATGGCTCCAAAAATGTTGCATACCCACCCACTCACTTGCTTCTTTTTTGTCGTAAGTACTTAACTGTGCTTGGATGGTGATTCAACAGTTTATAATTAATAATTGTGTGTGCTACGCATAGCCCAGGCAGATACATGACTTTCAAAGCTTATTATGACCCTTCCTGATGTCTCCAGTTGCACTACACTTCCTTTGAAAAATGCTTATTTGTCAAATATCTGTGTCTGCAGAGTCATAGTGGACTGAGAGCCTGACAAGGACAGAAAGACAGTTCAAATGCAAGAAAAGCTGGAAGAAAAATCAATTTATGTTGTCAAATTACTTTCCAATCTCTCTTTTCAGTTGGTGAAAAATGTATATAACATTGAGTATTGTGGTAAAAACAACTTTAGCAGAACTTTACTTTACCTGTGAGGCAGTAGGGTTGTGGCAAAAACAAAGAGCATTTCCCTCTAAGGTGAGTGACTGAAGTTTGCCACACAACCCCAGATACTGAACCTGGGCTAGATCATCCACTTGGTTTCCTTCAAGATCTAACAGCTGCAGGTTCTCCAGCATTGCAACTGGACTGAGGTCTGATAGATAGTTAAAGTCCACATGCAACTCCTGAAACAAAACGGATGAACATGCAAGTTTGTAACAGGGGGACAAGAAAAGAGTTTAGACAAAAGGATAAACTTTCAGATAGAGGACTAATAAAACACAAACAGAATCAAATGATGTGGGACGAAAATTGAAACATATTGGACACATTGGAAAAGTTAGACAGGTAATATGGTCTCTTACAACACCAACAGGACCGGGGCTATGAGAAAATAAAAGGGAACGGGAACTCTGATAAACTAACATGAATATCTTTGTGTTAAGTAACTGTGTTTAAAGGGATATTCCGGTGTAAAATTAAGTTATGATCAAACACACCATAGCACCAAGTTAGACACCCCCTCAAGAGATGAATGTTGCCAACTTCTTGCTTCTCTAGTTATACCAACTTCAGCAACGACCGCACGATAGCAATACACAGTAGTCTCAGGAGCCACTAGCAAACCTCAACCAAAAAGACACTCTATTGCAAATAGACTAAACACAACTCACCCACTCTCTTCCAGCAGCCGCTTGCTTGTGAGGGAGCCCTGATGAGTCGATCACAGAGTGCAGCGGATCATTTTCTTGAAGTAATAATCATCATAATAATCATTTTGCGCTGCAGACGCGGTAGTTCTTCTTTCTTAGTGTCTCAGTCTGATTGCATTTCCATGGAGTAATGATCATAAATGTTCTTCCTTGAGATGCGAAACTCCGCTGCATGCAGTGATCGACTCGTCAGGGCTCCCCCACAAACAAGCAGCTGCTGGAGGAGAGTGGGTGAGTTGTGTTTAGTCTCTTTGCTGAAAAAAAAAACAGGCAAAGCTAAAAAGATGTTTGGTACCTGGTACTATGGCTGGGGCCCTATATGTACTGTTGATGAAGTTAGGTACTGTTCTGAGCATTATTTGTGGCTATAGAGTGGCTATTTGGTTGAGGTTTGCGCGTGGAGACATAGACTGCTGTGTATTGCTATCGTGCAGTCATTACTAAAGTTGGTATAGCTAGAGAAGCAAGCAGTAAGCAACATTAATCTCTCAAGGGGGTGTCTAACTTGGTGTTACGGTGTGTTTAACCCTAACTTCATTTTTATGCTGGAATATCCCTTTAAATTGAGTTATCAGGGTAAAATCCAAATTTTGTCAGTGTGCAAATAAATATGATTCAAATGTTTCTTTGTTGCACTCCTTCATTCATAAGTCATGTTAAACTTTACCTTGAGAGCAGAGAAAATAGAGATACCATCCAAATCTTTCAGGGAGCAGCATGACATATGCAGCACTTGCAGGTGGGAGAGGGTGGTTCCCAGGTCTCTGCGGAGACAAAATTTCACAAAATCCATTTAGAGGCAGTTCGTGAAGTTACACAACTAATCCCTTGACTACCAAAGCTGGAAATTCTTTACAATTCCTCAATATGCAGGCTTCTCCTCTGAAGCCAAATTGTCTCTTCAGCATCCCCTGCTCTGACCCTTCCAGGAGGGACTCAGTGTTTCAACAACCCTGTAACACCCTCTTTGCTGGAGCTCCCACAGCCCTGAGCAGGAAATGCTATCAGAGGCAGTGCACGTCCGGCTGGCCCTGCTCTGCTGCTCTCAGGGTGGAGCAGACAGCATCCTATCTGTCTATTTGTACTACTTTATTCTCTGTATTGACTTGGTAAGTTTTCTCTGTGTGAGTCCAGTTTGCAGTGTGTGTATGTGTAAGTCTTATCCTGGAGGTTTTATTGCTTCTTTCATGGGATTTTGATGACACGGTTGTGGCTGCAAACATGTGAGTAGGACACTGAAACAATGCAGAGTAGTTCTGTCTTTATTCCTACAATGATTACAGTTTAAAAATTATAATCTAAACCTTGCAATTAAATTTTTATCTACCAAATCTCTATGCCCTCATATGAGACGGATGGGAGAACCTCTTCTTTCTATCCTTGCAACTGCACTGAACACCACATTTGTTGGTTTACGAGCAGCAACCTCCAGCTTACTCACAGAAACACCGCCTCATGAGTTCCCACAAGGAAATCTTGGCAGGAGCACAACAGAGAGCTACACCTGCACTGTTACAACACTCTTCATCAGATGCACATACCCATGACCTTTGACCTGCTATTCTGCTTCAAAGCACTGCCTCTTTGTAGCTTCCAGGGACTCTTGATTTGAGAGTGTATATTCTTGCACATGTGATCACTGTGAGGCATAGCAAAAATCCCCATGAGTTCACTGCTGCTCAAAAGCTCGGGTTACAATCCTCTTTAAAGGAAGACACGCTTGCTTTCTTTATAAACCCAGGCCGAATATAGCATGGGTGAATGATAACAGGCACAAACTAGTATCATATACTAGTTTGTGCCTGGTTTTATATATCATATACTAGTATCATATATCATATACTTTCGGCTTTACTATCATTTTATACTTATATATTTTATGTTTTTATTCTGGTCCTCATGGTCTCATTTTATGTTACAGGGTTCTTGTATTGTCTGGGTTCCTTATGCCATATGAAAATGGCCTTCAATTCTGAGGCCTTGTTTTAATTGGGCTTTTTGTTTTGTGCTATAAAAATAAAGTTATTTTTATCATATATTTGATTTTGGTTAACACTAAATGTCATTGTTCCTTACTTGATCTGTTGGAGATGTAAGCTTCTTGAGAATCTGAAATACTCCATGAGATAATGTGAAGGTGATAGGAGTGTGAGTGTTCTCTTTGACAGAAAAAAAAAAGGAAATTGTGTTGGTGTTATGTAACTTCATGCTCACCTTACTGACATAATCCTACTGTTGTTCATTTTCAGCTGCACCAGTTTGGGCAAGTAGACACCTACAAACGAATCAGATAAACAAAACAAATTCTTATTGCTGTCCTCTACCAAGAAGGGGATTTGTAATGGGTTAACACTAACCTCACTACTCGATTCAAAATTCACCTCACACAAATTTATGCAACTGATGTGTTTAAGCTCAGTTGGTTGCAATGAAGAGCACCTTCAGTGACTGAGTCTGAATCACACATGTATGGACACTGCTCTTTCATGCCTGCACATGTTTTGCAATCTAGAATGATCTAAGTACAAAGGGGAGAATGAAATGTTCCTCCATGATTATCAGCTCTGTCATCATGAGTTAAGGTTGGCACACCTGACAGGAAAATTAGTACTGATATGTTTGGTGTGTCATAGTGATTTCTTTGTTCATTCTGTGTTATGGAATTCTTGATTGTAATTGTCTCTGTAGTAAGCATCAGCTATGAATTATTGTCTTCTGCTGGTTAGAAATCTGTCTCTCTCAGTTGTATAAATTAGGATTTAAGGGTATTGAGAGTTTGTGAATGAATCTGTGATGTTAAATCGAAACAATAACAACCTATAACAATGAAAAGACAAAAAACTGTTTGAGCCAAGATTTTCTGTTTATCTCACCAAAGTTACCGAGTGTGCATTCTCGTGTGTCTACGCAGATCTCCAGCGAGGTCACATGAGAGAGGTCCTGAGTACCACACAACCACTCCTGTGAGGGACAGAAAACAACAGAAACCCACTTACAACTTATTCTGTCACATCTAAAAGAAGTCGTTTTTCTTTCAGTTTAGATTCACTCAAAAATCTACAGTGTGGGTTGCCTTTTTAATTTGATAAATAAGGAGAGGGTGCACGAACACACAAAATACAATGAAAACAAAGAAAGGGAGAACACAGCGTAGGGGAGAGTGGGGTAAGATGAGCCAGTTTTTTCATATTTTGGATTCACTACATCAAGGCAATCATAGTTTTGTCTCTAACTAGTGTATCTGCATATATTTCCAAACTGCAAACCAACAGAATGAGTGTAAACATAACTGTCTCGATAATATAGCATGCCAAAAAAAGGTGGTCTCCTATGGTCAACTTACCCCATACACAGGGTAAGTTGACCAAAGGAGTGGGGTAAGTTGAGCCGTATCCCTCCTAAATATTTGGTCACAGGATCAATTTTTTTTTTTTTTTTTTTTTTTTTTTACCATTTCCAAGCAACAGGGGGTGGCTCAACTTACCCTTTGGCTCAACTTACCCCACTCTCCCCTATAGGTGGGATGACTCTTGACTTTTAGCTAAATTACCAGTTTTTCTGGAGTGATGTAAACATCCACTGCTGTATCCGAGCCCTCACATGGCTTCTTGGTAGGAGTTGGGTTGTTGCTGCCTGATTCCCCCAGCTCAGTCACTTGGACTCGTGCTGTACCAGGTCGGGTCTCCACGGGCACAGAGTCCGGACAGCAACTCATCTTTTACGGCCACTTGGAATGAACAATATCAAGAACCGTCACTGAATCGTTCAATTGTTTTCGAACTAAAATATTACGAAGTATTGATCCATCTCCTATATGACTGCCTGGCGTGAAAATAGCAACACGCCAGCGTTGACTGATTTGGTTAAAATCAGTAAACGCTGGTGTTTTTGACATGGGTTAATTATTATTGGTAACGACCTCTGAGCAATTCTTATGATTGACACGTTTAGCATTTATATTATACAATATTTGTACTTACAAAATAAAATGCCAGTTACAGGAAACCGTGGACAAAATAGAGTCCGTGCATTCTCACACCAAGGGCTGTTTTCTCTGTAGCAAAAGTTTGCTTGACAACCGGGGACGACTTCCTGGATACGGCGCTGTGAGCACCATGGCTCTATGGGATATGTAGTTCACTTTTTTTTTTTAATACGACAATATCAAAGATTAATTTGAAACCTTCTGCTTCTACTGTTTTAACCTTTACTCGCCTTCATCTAGACTGGTGCGACATTCAAATGCCCTTTGTAAATGTGATTTCGCAAATTTGAAATTGATTTGGTAATCATTTAATAACGTTGTCAAGAATATATTCATGTGAACTTATCTTAGTTTCAAAAAGTGTAAAGCAGTAAGAGGTTTCCTTACATTTTTACATACATTAAAACATAAGTACACACGTGTTTCATAATTTACACTGCCTTTAAAACTCTTTAATGTCTGAAACCACAAAGTATGGCCAGAAAATTCAATTTTTTGGAGCTGAAATGTTTGTTTCACTCACTATTGAAAAAAAAGTTCCTTAAAATTTAACAAATATATTTATTTATCTTGTTTGATAAATTTGATGTTTTTTTAAATGATAAACCACAAGAAGACATTTTTTATCATTTATGGACTGCATCAAGGTGTTTTTAGTAAATTGCTGATCATATTGATTTGATAAAAGTATGTATCGAATATGATACAAAAGGCAATAAAGGGGTAAGCAATCACAACTTCTCTTAAACTCAGAATACCATGGCATTGTCCAAGGACTTAGTTTGTATTCTATCATTCACAAAGTTAAGATACTAGTTTTTTTTTTTCTCAGAGTGGTGGGATTGCAGTAATAGTGATATTTCAGACCCATTATTTCTCCAGGACCTTTACTTTTTCTTTTTGACCGATTTCATCCATTCCTAAAATTTGCAGTAATTCCTTGTCATTGTTAAATTGGAACAAACAGCAAAAATTCCGGCTGGTCTTTCACGGCGGAGTTGCCATAATTCCGACAGCACATGAACGCAGCAGTAACATGCATGGTTACCGGGGCGGATCTATGTTTGATAGAGCTGGGCGTGGGCTCTCCACTCCTCATCTCCCTGCCTCAGTGGAAGCACATTGTTCAACGCGGGCTCTTTTTTTCTATCCAGAAGAACCAATGACTACTTTGGTGGCCTTAAGCTTGTGAAAACCAAACACTTTCTCGGAGATAACAAGCTGCAGATATCTGGAGACGGCGGAGAGCAGACGGAGAATATTTGATTCCGCCTTCATGATCACAGCTGAGAGGCAACAGTCAAAAGATTTTTTTTCCTGCTCCTGTGGACCAAACGTCGCTTCTGTCGCTAATTAGACCCCTGCTTGTTGTAAGTATGCACTGCACATTCCTGTGTCCGAAATATGTCGGCTGTGATTGTGTGTTTTGTCTATTTCTACTACTAAAATGCTTTCATTTTTAGGAGCACCGCTGGAGATTGCGGTCCACAGTTGAAGCATGTTAGCTCGCTATTATCACATTATAATTCTGGTTTTATCTAGCGAGTTTACCAACAAATGTTTTCAAAAGAAGGATTAAATATATATATTTATTTCGATAAGGCTCTCTCGAGTTCGGGTTTTGTAACTTGGTTGTTGAGAAATAAAATGAAACTACTGTGAAACCCCCTCCTCACTTCACTATTGAACAGAAACTGAATGCATGTAAATGAAATGGGTTATTGCGGGGAGTATTGCGGGGATTTCACTCCCTATATTTTGTGAAATGCAAAGTCAGTCTTGTGTGAGCTTGCTGCCGATAGCGGCCACACAGACAAGTAGGGTGACGCCCCGTCACACCGAGTAAAAACTGAATGTATCACTGCGGAAGTTAGATTCCATTACAAGGCATTTACAACGCTGATTTAGGATGATCTGTCCTCTGGATTGCACTGTCAACGCTATTTTGCTTGTTCAAATGGCTAAAGATGGCCATGACCGGGCAAGATTCAAATCCACAAAAATCTGACTGTGGGGGCTGTTCAACAAGAGAAACAGTTTACCCTCCGAAGCTGTCAGTAATCTCCTCAGAATGAATTCTGTTTATCATACAAATTAGTCTGGGTGGGACAGTATATTATCAACACAGAGACACATGGTCTTCTTGACTGTAATTATCCTGCCACTGGCGCCAAATTTTGATATTTTAATGTAGAAATACCACCGATATCTAAAAAGGTCCCCTCTCCCAGACTCAACCGTATATCTCCTTAAGGTGACATTTATCCTACTCTTCACCGTCTGATGCATTTGATTTTCTTTTAATAACACCAGAATTCATCATAACATAGTAAACAACTTGTGTTATTTCAGAATCACTGCTGTGAAATTATTACTATCAGAGCCAGAATTCAAAACTTGGACTCAAGCCTGACTCGAGTCCTGATTTTAAGGACTCGTGCCTCAACTTGGACTGGAACACTGATGACTCTGACCTGTACTCAGACTCAAGTATGACTGCTTCAGGACTCAGGAGACGGAGAAGAGGAGTCATTCTTACTTTTTGATAAAGACTGCTTTATTGTTTTTGTTGATTTTTCAAAGTTTAAGGCCCTGGTAGTTTCATTAGTTTGGAGTCAGGGCTGGCCGGTTTGTTTACATGCATGAATATTTATGTGTCATCATGATCAGCAACAGTTCCCACCAGGATGCTTAGAAGTTGCACAGAAGACAATAGGTTGAAGATAAGTAATAGTAATAACTTTAATGAAGAAGACTTGACCTGAGCTCAGATTTTTCTTTGGCAACTTAGACTTGACTGATGATGAATCTAGACTTGACTTTGACTTGAAGTTTGATGACTCAACAAGTACACTGTCGTAATAGTGGGGTAATCTATCATACTGTATCACATCATGAGTTACCTTTCAAATCCCACCCCAGGTTAAATAAAAAAAAAAAGGCCATATGGATGGGCTGTCAAATCAGAGAAGAGAATTTCCCAACTTGAGCTGATTTAACTTTTATTTCAGATAAATTATACTCATTATGAAATAACACTAAACTTTGACATTCGTTACTTCTAAAAGATATTTAAAAAACAAGGTCTATGCTGTTTACATTTTGAGACATTTTTAACTGACTCCTGCTCAAATCTAATTTTATTCATGATAGCATCATTGCTGCCTCTGCTGCTGACTAAATCCTCACCATGAATCATATCTACAGATCAGCAACATCGTTTTTCCATGATCATATAATATACTAAGGAGTGACTTTGACTTTCACTGACCGGGTTTGACATCAACATCTGTAGCGTTCAGAGAAGAACTGAAGCAGCTGGAAAACAGCTGGAGGTAGTCCAGCCAGTGATCGAGGTGCAATGTGAATCTCTTGTCCCTTTCTGTGAACAGCTGTAGCCTGGGAGGTGCCCAGCTGCAGGCCAAAACAAGAGCAAGTCTTTTGGATGTCAAGCTTTTAAAAAGGACACGTTTTTACACTGTTTTTTTTTTTCTTTTACTTTTCAATTTGTTAAAAGATTGCTTCAAAAATTGTATGAGAGGAATCAAAATATGTCTTACTGGTTTGTCTGAATTGTATTTGGGTGATAAAACTCAGAGATTATATATATTTATATTTGCCCCATGATGCACTTTTTTGTGCTTAGTGTTATTGTACGCCCTCACAAACTAGTACAGCTGTCTAAAATGCTCTGACTCTTCTTATGGCTGATGAGTTTAGGGTGCTTGGGTGTGCGATGATAACCCTTATGGCTCCTCTAACTGCAGTTCTTTGTGTGGGGAGGTCAGCTGGCCTTTTCATCCCTGCTGCTGCCTCAATTGTCCCACCCTTACCAACAAGCTGAAAGGATGACCCAGTGGGGAAAAGGTCATTGGTACTCTGGTGCCTTTAAGAGCTGGCTGTTTAAGCATGCAACGTTCATACACCCAGATGCACAGAGAAAGTCTTTATGGAAATGTTTGTGAGGGAGAAAACCTTAGAAAAGGGGAATTGTTTATTCAAAGATTATCATTGATTTTTTTTTTAAGTTTCATTCATTTTTTTAATTAAAAAAACATTTTGACTCTTAAAGGAGGACTTAAGAAATATGATATGTCAATAATATATTAATACGCCCAATAGCTCAATGATTTTCTGAATGAATAGATCTCTCAATGGGTGCTGTATGAACCCAGTTCCATGTGTTTCATTGGCCTTGGAGTGCAGAATAGTCTTTAGCTGCTGGTCAGCACTGATGTTTAGATGTTGTTTAGAGGGATGATGTCATTGGTGAGTGGTGGGAGGGTGTGGTGGGCTATCAAGGCTCCAACATGGGTCTTGGAGTCTCAGTATTGGACTGTGATACCTCCCTAGAGAGGGTCTCCTTACCATCATCTCTCCATTAAAAATCTATTATCTCTGCAGCAGGGCTTGTGGCTCTGCTAGTATGGATCCTTCAACCAATTAGGAACTTTAATGGAGAGCAGGATGCATGTTGGGGAAGGTGGTCGTTCATTTATTTGCCCCCCTTAGTGCATCATGTGTTTTTTGGAGAGATGAAGTGGGCTATGGAGAATTCAGAAACAGATATGTATTTGTCGTTATTTATCAGGTAAAATGATAGAGGATGCAAAGCACTTTTATTATTGATTACTTTATACGTTTTTCTGTTTCCAGGTCGACCCCTCCCTCCCTCCTGTGGTTTCTCTGCCCTTGGCACATAGTCAGAATAGCCTTCTCTCTGCCTCGCCCTCTCCTCCAATCAGCCCTCTCGCTGCTCTCCACTCACACCCTCTATAAACTGTCATGTAAGATTATCCTCCTGGTTCAGGCGAGGCTCTAGGGTTTCAAAACGAACTGTTAATTTCCCAGGCTGGAGGTGACGAGCTATAAATAAATCTAAACATCAACATTTCGTATGGTCCTGCTCCTTGATCAAGAAGGCAGCCGCTATCCATAGATTTTAGGGACTCAGAAAGTCAGGGTTGATCAACCTTTTTTCTTTCCTGACATTCCTTCTGATACTTTGACCAGAGCCCCCAATAACACCAACTCTTACTCTGTATTGAAGAATTAGATTTTCAACATGAAACAACATTTTTTTTCCTGCTTATAAAAGTATTTGTACAGTAGGGGTGGGAGATAAAATCGATACAGCATAGTATTGCAATATTTTGTCTGGTGATATATCATATCGTCTCATTACCAAGTGTTGATTTTTCAAAGTGATTGCTTATATGAAGTCAAATCTATGATAATGGAAAACTAAAATCAACTGCTTGTCCAGTGAGGTTGGCAGAGGTGACATCGCAGAGCAGGAGAAAGTTAGTACAACAAAAATTTATAAAGTTTGCAAGATGTGCTACATGAAAATAAAATACAGCGTAAATAAGACAAAGGAAAGACAAATGCTAAATTAGCTCAACAGTTGAAAAAAATTTATAGATCGCAAAATTTTGTATCGCAATACTCACTGTAATGCAAAATATTAAAAATCGCAATATCGTATCGTGGGGTCTACTTTCATGACATTTTACTAATAAGTTGATCTTTACCACTCTGAGAAGTAGTGTCCATGATTGATTTTGCTGTATTGGCTAATGTTTTATATACAAAGTATTTATATTACGTTACATTTAGATTTTTTGGAGGGTTAATAGATTATGGTATGGGATCAATGCATTGATTTGGGTGCTTGATTACACCTGGTCATTTCTCTGAGGCATGTTCAATTTAAGTATTGAATTGGACTGACTCTACAGTAGTTTCAGGGTCGTGTGTGTGATTGTTTGAAATAGGAAGCTTTGTACATTAACGTAAAACAAAAAATCAATTTTTGAAAGAAAACCAAAAGGGAAAAAGCCTTGTACAGTTGGATCTAAGTTTTAGATTTTGCTAAATGTTGCCTGCCTGATGCACGTTTTGTGCATGCCCCGGCAGCATATGAAAAATCGTTTTCCTTCTCTAGATGAAAAACGATTCGTACATACCCTGATCATTGCAATCTCCAGCGGCTGTGTCCTCATCCCCGCTCTCTGAATGCTCATACACCAGCTCTACATCAACCCGTCTTGACAAAAAGTGGCTGTGAGAAAGCGACAGCATCTTTATCAATGATTAATTTGCCATTCATCTCCATATGTATATGTGTGTATTATTAATCAGCTGCTGCCATGGCCTAGTTCGAGAGGAGGAGGTGGCATGGCTGTCTGTTTTCCTTCCTCTGGTCTCCTAGTAGCGGGCACGGGTGCTTTGAATTTGCTGTTAGGCTGTAAATTTTAATCATTTGGCAGGTGCACACTTGAGATCTGGCTATGTAGAAGAAATGCAGCAACCAACCGTGTCAGAATCTGTAAAACTGTGGAGGTGTGACAGAGCCAATCTTAAATTTTTTTGTGTTTTTATTCAAGTGTGTCCTACATTTGCTTCTTCTTCTTATCAGTTCAATTCAGTCCTCTTTGTTGGCAAGAATTTCCGGATACACAGTAGAAATAGAGAAAGCATCTGTTTGAAACTGAGTCTTTGATACAGATTGACATGTATCAGTTAGGACTTTATATGCTTGTTTGTATCATGATGTTGAGCATTTAAGGCAGGAGAGACAAATACAAGTGCTGCCCGAACAGGGAGCAAGGATTGATTTCAGAACATTATAATCCATCTTGGAAATTACAAATAGATGGATTACACTCAGTGAATGAACTGAGATTTTATCTACAATAACTTTGACATTCAGCAATGATCAAAGCTATTTTGCTAGCACAACTGATCACCTGGTAATTTTGCTTGTGTAGTTGTTTTCTGAAATGTATAAATTCAACAATAAACCAGTAAATAAGTAAAGGTGTAGTTGGATTCGAGTAAAAGTGTGCTTTCGTTCATCTTGAGATATTAAATCTAATTTTAGATGTTAGTGTCAGTCTCAGCTGTTTGAAATGACTGTAGAGAAGTTTCCAGCTAGCACTGATTTGCCCTGTCATGAGCTTGCAGCCACCAGTGACCAAAGGTGTTCCTGTGTCTGTCTGCAGCCCTGCGCGGGTCTGTGCCCCTCACACAGCTGCTGTTTATTTGGTTAAAGGAGGCTGTAAGGAGCTGGGCTGGTACCACAACCCTGCTGCGGTTTCTTTAGGGCAAGCCTGCACAACGTACCAGCCAGGTGGATTTATTTACAGTGAGGGAAAAGGAAGCTAAATGTTTTGCCATGAGTTTGAGGGGTCAGGATAATTTCACTTCCTGTTGTGCTTGAGATTTAAAGCAAGGGACGCTGTTTTTACAAGGATGCAGATGTTGATATTGGTAATGGTGTTCAGAAATACTTCAGGCCCGATATGACTAACCGGATCAAGGATGTGTAGCAGGAACATGTGTATAAGTGTGTGACTGAATAAGAGCCATTAAACGTCTGTGTTGTCAGGTAGCAAGTCTGCTTCTCTGTTATTCATTAACATCAGTGAGCCGGTCTTAATGCTGGCTGATCTCAGTCTATACCCTCATCAGCTCACTCACACACACAATCACACCAGTAAGAGATTTAAAAGAGGTGCATGCAGATTCTATTTTTACAACACTACACCCAGAGACAAAAATAGGTGCTTGCCCGTTACTTTTGACTCACTAAGAATGAAGTAGCTTTGTACGTTTTCTTTTTTTTAATTTCCCACTTTGCATGTTCGGCTGTCCAGACTTCCTGTCACCTGCTACTCCTCTGTCTAAACAACAAGTTTCAGATTCACTCAAGCTGTGTGTGTATTTGTGTATGTGTGCGTTTACACTGTTTTGAAAGATAAAGCGCCAGAGTCAGGGTGTTGGTGCATATTCTGCTCCAGCTGGCCGAAACACCACCGTTTATTGTTCAGGATGACAGCTGATACTCTAGAGGAAGTGTGTGTGAAATTTCAACATATTAAGAGCACAATGTAACATTTGGTGTAGATTAGTGATCATGTCTTCTGCTCGTTGCAGTAAAACTGAGCAAAGCGAGACCCCTTGTTTAACCCAATGTGACCTTATCTTACCTCCTAACCCATCATGGGAACTATGAGACAGACTATTTTTGAGGAAGAGAAACTGAAAGACATTTTCAGAGTTACTGTAGATGATGTTAGTGTCACTTTCAGGCAACAGTTTAGTTGAGAGGAATTTTTTGGGTATTTTTTGCCTTTTAATTGATAGTACAGGGTGGAATGTGGGGAAGGAGGGAGGACATGCAGCACATTGTCAGGGCCGAACTCCAACCTGCAACCGCTGCGGGGATCGTGGTCCTCATACATGGGGTGCGCTAACCCTCTAAGCCATCTTCGCATCCCAAAAAAGTTGTTTTGAAAGTGGTGATGGTGTTGTTAAATCAAAAACGTAGAGAAGTATCTGAGTTTTTTTCTGAGTCTTTTCCCCTTTTTTTCCCCAGATTGTCAGACAGAAAGTGAAACCTAACCACTGTTGGTAACTTCAAGTTAAAGAAATGCTGTCCCAGTGATTTTCCTTTAAGCTCTGACATCAGAGATGACACCATTGCGATGACACAACTGTATTCACTGTTGTCTACATGATGTTGGACTGATGTTGTCACCTCGGGAGGCTCCTGTGGTTGCTAAGGGCCTCCAGCACACTTCACTTGCGGTTAGCCATAGGCTGGGTCGTACCAGCTGTAGCTTGTCATTGAATTAATTCTCCAACATGGCAGTGCTGACTTCTTCTCTGACTCATCAAGTCTGCTGGAGGGATCAGGTCATCGCCAGGCCATAAATTTGGTAATTTGGTGAATTTGCTACTTAAGCTGAGTCACACTGTGTAAGCGCATCATGGAAACACCCATATGACTACTTTCACTGCTCGGTGGTGACTCAACTCAGCTGGAATTTCACTGACCAGCAGTGTTGTGAGGACGGTGGCAGGGATGTCAGAGAAGTGTGTGTCTTTGCGTTATTGTGATGCCTGTGAGATGTGTTTACATACATATCTTGTTCCAGCTGACTCTCTCTGCAGTCATAACATGCATAACTGGTAAATTTCCCAGATGTGAAAGCTTCCTCTGCTCTTTTCTTTTTACTCTTGTTGTTGGGTGAATTTGAACCTCACTAACTCACATCTTCATCTGAGCTACATCGAGGGATCAGGGGTATCTTTATTATCCCTGAGGGCTGATTTGCTTTACAGCCAGCAGTATACACACAATTCAAAACAGTTTAGACTAGAGCTGTGAAGTCCTAACTGACTGGTCGATTTATTACGTGCTGAGTCGACCAAGATTCTGATTGGTCGACTCCGTTTTTTCCGCGTCAATTTACAGTCTATGGTTAATTTTATCAGGAGAAACGTACCAAGTGCTAATGGGGGTGTTTTCACAGGTAACAGACTGTCTCAGAACACCCTCTTTGTTTTCACCATTTTGGATTCGCCCAACCTTCTGGAGACAGGAAGATTGAAGAGCGTCCAAGTTCAATGTCCGGTGGTTTGCTGAATATAGTATTTGTGTTTAATTGCCTTCTTGTGCTGATATCAGTATATTTTCAACCAGCTGCGCTCCACCGAGCCGCGTCTTTCCCCGCCGCAGAAGGGTTTGCCGTTAGAGTCGTACCCCTCCCCAACCCACCCCACCCTGATTAGTTGATTTTTGGTCGTAAATTTCAGGGTATTAGTCGACCAAGAATGTCTTTGGTTGATTACAGCCCTAGTTTAGACACATGTAAAAACATGAGCATATGAAACACTGCATTAGCATCAGAATAAATAAAAATCACTTTAAACTAAATTTCTCGTAAACTCTCATAAAATTTGTAGCTTAAATTTGACCAGCCAAAGCCAGTTTTACTTCACTTTTCTTCTTCAGCCTTTTAATACCCTGTTGGTCCATCAACTGTCTGTCATACAGGTTCACTTATGCTCTGTAAATCTTATCCAACAGAAATGAATATCACTTATGTTTTCTCAAGAGACTAGCATCTTCCTCTAATAACATGCTGTGATTCATGGTCAGTGTTGTCCTGAAGCATCGACAAAATCTATCGAGTGGATACAGATAACCCTTTGGGGATGACTGCACACACACCTGGTGTCATAAAATACAGACTGCGCTGTTTCTACAGGCTGGTCCTTATTGAAGAAGCAAGAGAAGTTACCATAAAGCAGTTAGCTAACAGTAGCAAATAGAGAAAATAGTGATTCTTTCACTTTTCACAGGTAGTTGAGCATTGTCTTTTTTTTTTTAAATTGCTACATTGTAAGGGAGTATTTTCATTGGGTTATTTGGGCTCTGGCATTTGGGTTCAAAGGTAGGCATCGGAAACGTGACACCTGAGTGATGGGGGTCAGTCTGCCGGTGTCATGCCCCTTCCCTGTGTCCCCTGCTGCTCCCCCTCTCTTACACACTCTCTGCTGTTCACACTCAGAGTGAGAGGATTGGAACATCGAGTACCTTCGGCACATTTTTTACATTCCCCTTTGATGGTCTCAACCTCAGACCCCCACCACCACACACACAATACACACTCCAAACCGCTGTTGTTTCTCCCCACTTAGCAGTGATGCTAAGAACTGTTTTGCTTTGTTTGAACCATTAGCTGTTGAGCGCATCATAACACTGAAGTGGCAGAGATAGCGTGCTCACCAAAGCTCTGTCTGTGTCTGCTGCTGCTCTATCCATACCTTGTGACGATGTAGCTGTTGAATGTCAGATTGTTAACCTGCACCTTTTTTCTTTTCTCTCGCTCTCTGTCCAGGAGTGCTGTGTGTGTGCGTGGCGATGACGGAGTATAAGCTGGTGGTGGTGGGAGCAGGAGGCGTGGGCAAGAGTGCGCTCACCATCCAGCTCATCCAGAACCACTTTGTGGATGAATATGACCCCACTATCGAGGTATGAGTCCCTCTATATGTTCGACATGTTAATAGCAGAAAATGTCTCTCAATTGTTGTTCATCAGTTTTACACTCATGGTGGGTATGTGAGTAGTAATCTAGAAGTTATTCTACAAATGTCTATCCCTGCAGTCACTGCTCAGCTGGGTTTTCTGCCCTCCACGGAAAGACAGCTTAGTCTAAATCAAGTTAATTGAATTGCCTTAATCAAACACTTGGGCTGTTCTCCAAATGGTCAGTATTTTTTTTCATGAAGAAATATTCATCCCGCCTCGTCATAACTCTTTTATTACCTTCAAAATGAAACATTGCAGACACTGCAATGAGTCAAGAGAAGCCAGCGAGAATGTTTTCTCCTCTTTTTCCTCCCATTTCTGTCTTCTCTGTCTCCACTCTCTCCCTCTCTTTCTCACCACGCCTGCCTCTGACCAGACAATGTCCTTTTTGTGTGTTTGCATTCCTGGCCCCTATGCTCTAACAAACAAAGGGACGGCACTCCATGTTTTTGTGGTTTCGTGTTGGAAGGCTAAATATTGGCTTCGAGACCCCACTGCTTCGATCTCTTGATGTTCATTTGACATGAGGATGAATTGAAATTCAAGTGCTGACACTTGTAATACAGCACATACAAGGTATATAGAGCACAGCACTGAGTCACCAGGGATGAGAGAACTCGAAATCCCACCTGAAGTACTTCATCTGTGCCTATGATTGTTTAGGAATAGTGGTTTAACACAAGACTGATATCTCCATTGCCACCTCTATAAACCTTTTTGCCATTTTCTTTTGCAGGACTCGTACAGGAAGCAGGTTGTGATTGACGGAGAGACCTGCCTGCTGGACATCCTGGACACTGCAGGTCAGGAGGAGTACAGCGCCATGAGGGATCAGTACATGAGGACAGGGGAGGGCTTCCTCTGCGTCTTTGCTATAAACAACACTAAGTCTTTTGAGGACATTCATCAGTACAGGTGAGTGTAGAATTACGACAAAGAGAGAAGTTTGTTGGATTCAGGATGCATCACAAATTATGACACAGATGGAAATTATGATATCTAGTAGGGGTGGGAGAAAAAATCGATTCAGCATAGTATCAAGATATTTTGTCTGGTGATATATTGTATTGTCTCATTTACCAAGCATCGATTTTTTTCAAATTAATTGCTAATATGAAGTCAAATGAAATGATGATGAAATGAAAAAAATAAAATCAATTGTTTGTCCAGTGAGGTTGGCAGAGGTGACATCATAGAGCAGAAGAAAGTTAGTACAACAAATAAATAAAAAGTTTGCAAGATGTGCTACATGAAAAAAAAATACAGCGTAAATAAGACAACCATTAATAAAAGACAAATGTTAAATTAGTTTAACAGTTAAAAAAATATAAGGATCGCGATATATTGTATTGAATTACTCACTGTATTGCAATATCAAAAAAATCTCAATAATATCGTATTGTGGCCCAAGTATCTTGATAATATCATATCGTGGCCCAGGTATCACGATAATATCATATTGTGGCCTAAGTATCGCGATAATATCATATCGTGGCCCAAGTATCGCGATAATATCGTATCGTGGCCTAAGTATCGCGATAATATCATATCGTGGCCCAAGTATCGCGATAATATCGTATTGTGGCCCAGGTATCGCAATAATATCATATCGTGGCCCAAGTATTGTAATAATATCGTATCATGGCCCAAGTATCTTGATAATATCATATCATGGCCTAAGTATCGCGATAATATCATATCGTGGCCCAAGTATCGTAATAATATCATATCGTGGCTCAAGTATCTTGATAAAATTGTATAGTGGCTCAAGTATCGCGATAATATCGTAGCGTGGCTCAAATATTGTGATAAAATATATTGTGGCTCAAGTTTATCAATCGCGTATCGTGATGCCACTGGTGATTCCCACCCCCTATCTAGAGTTGCAGATTTGTCCAGCTCAGACAACCCAGGTGGAGTTTAGATATTATCTCTAGATCTTCTTCTAATGGTGTGTGTATGTGTGTGTGCATGCGTGCTTGTGAGCGCGCGTTTGTACATGCAGCATGTGTTGCACGGACTCCCACGGGGTCTGGATGCAGAGAGGTGTGTTTACGTATATGTGCCAGCTCTCTGCAGCAATTGGGTGATGTCATGCTGTAGCGTTTAACACGGCTAAAGAAAGCTTAGCCTCCAACTGGAGGATTACAGCATGATGCCAATGAAATCGATCCTGACTCAATTAGGGGAGCGGGGGGAGAGGTAGCACTTTCAAGGACGGGGGAAGGAGAAAGGGAGGTAGAGGGGAAGGAGGGGGAGAGATTCAGCTGGAGATGACAACATTCTTTCTCTCTCTCTCTCTCTCTCTTTCCCACATATTTAGTCTTTCCCATTAGGTTAGACACTCTTGACTGCCTTGCACATAGCAAGTAAACGAGACAGCATATTAAGTTTGCAACCTTCTCGAAAGATTTTCAGGTTTTTTTTCAAGCTTATTACACACTTTTTGTTTGGCTTGTTGCCCTTGTTGCTCAGCCTTTTTTTGGCCTGGAATAAAGTGCTGGTATCATTGTTACAGTGTTGTGCAGCTCACAAAACATAAATGAATCTTTGAGGGGGCAAAAAGAATAAGGAGGCTTTTTTTTTATTTTGGGGTCTTTTCTTGTTATTCTTTAAGAGGTTTGGACAGTGAACAGAGTCAGAAGCAGGGAAGAGAGAGTGGGGATGACATTCTGGCAAGGAGCTGAAGTTGGGGATGAAAACTGGATTTGGTTGTAGCCTGAGCCAAACTAGCCTCCCAAAATAATGAACTTCTCAACTTGTTTTTTTTTTAATTTTTCCTTTTGACTTAAAAGTAACAAAAGTTTTAAATTTTGCTTCACAATGCGTCAGGTAAAGAAGATTTTATCTGCTTCAAAATGTTCTAAATGCTCATTAGCATTATATACCTACCCTATCAGCGTATAACAGGTCCAGAACAGAGTAACACATTTGATGGGCCATGCCACCAAGTCAAAGTGCATCTGTGATCACAAACTCACAAACCCCATTAGCAGTGCGGCCTGCAGATGGGCAGGGCAGACCGGAGTGCCTGCATCCTGCTGCACTGTGGCTCAGGGAGAAGAGGGGCTGAGCAGATAGATTGATCTGACCCACTCCTCTCACTCTGGCTGCCTAGCGTTTGGCGCTGGCTGCTGTAGCGATGAGGTAATGCTGTTCTCCGCCTGCCTGTTGTCCGTCCCTCCCCCTCTCTGCCTCCCCCCCCCCCACCTCCCTCCCTCAGCAGTGCAGCACAGCCCAGCACCAGCAGGGCCCTGGGTCCTCCTCAGGGTCCTAGAGCTCCCCGGGTGGTTTTCTTTCCAGCTTGTGTATGACGCAGGGAGGATCCCAGACAAGAGATACATCACTGTGACTGAATAAAACACTCATGAAGGAAATTGCAAATGAAATGACAACTGTTGCATTGTTCTGAAACTTACAGGGAACAGATAAAACGCGTCAAGGACTCTGATGATGTGCCTATGGTGCTTGTGGGAAACAAATGTGACCTCCCTGCGCGTACGGTGGACACAAGGCAAGCCCAGGAACTTGCCCGATCCTACGGCATCCCTTATATCGAGACCTCTGCCAAGACACGGCAGGTAGGTGTTGATCAGGAAGCAAACACCCACATATTTTCCAAATGTTGCAGGATTTCAGATCCGACCTAAATGACTTTCACAATAAACATATTGCAGATGAGCGCAAGAAGCACATCAATTCAATTTCAGTTTAATTCAACTTTATTTATATGGCACTTTTCATACAGAAGGAGATGCAATTCAAAGTGCCTCACAGAGGCTAAAAACAAAAAAGACAAAAACCCAACCCTTCCACCCACCCACACGCACACAGAGACACACACCCACCCTCACTCACCCACACACACAACCGCACACAGTGTGAGAATTTAAGATAAAATTTTAAAGAGACATGGCCTGACTCCGAGACATTACATGAGGAACGAGCTACCTTTAGGAAACACTGGAGATAAAAATAAAGATAAAAATGGTGAAAATAGTAAAACCTGATGGACTAAAATAAGAAAATATTAAATGAACAAATAAATAAAAGGGGTGAACGAAGTAAAAACCTGTGACGGGAAATTAAAAAAGGCTAAGAACAGAGATAATGAATAGAATGACATAAAATAAACATTAAGAACTTTGATTAAAATGAACATTTGCAATAAGAGAAATATAAAATGGCAATTAGTAAAAAGCCTGGTTAAAAAAGTGAGTCTTGAGCCTCTTCTTAAAAATATCAACAGTCTCTGCGGCCCTGAGGCTCTCCGGCAGGCTGTTCCACAACCGGGGACCATAAAAACTGAACGCTGTCTCCCCGTGTGTTTTTGTTTTGACTTTGGGTAAGGTTAAAAGGCCTGTGCCGGAGGACCTCAGGGTCCGCAAGGGTTGATATGGTAAAAGTAAATCAGATAAATAGGAGGAGCCAAGACCATTAATACATCTAAAAACTAATAAAAGAACCTTAAAATCATCAGTAAGAAGAAGAAAAAGTACATTATGTGCACATTATGGGCGCTCAAGTGGAGAGGTTCAAATCAAACAAGACACTGGTGTAATATACAAGCCTGTATTCAAATACCGCATACAATCACAGTACTTGACCAAACACAGACGCACCCAACTGTGCAGCATCAAACTGTGCAGCATCAAACTGTAAGCAACAGATCAAAATCATGTCGGTATCCTTTTTAGGTGGTGCTACATTTTGTACATGTATCCATGCACATGCAGAGCAGAGCAGCGAACAGCCTGCAGTAGGATTTGATTTGTATTGCTGGGAACATTTTATTATGCCGCAGGCAATGACTCATAGCCAGGTTATATTGGCTTGAGAACAGAGCTCCAGTATTTTTATTTGAAGGCCTCGATGAAGAAAAGTCGCTTCGCTGCTCTGACTCCAGATCTGACTCACTGTCACACATTGCTCAGGTACATAGAGACACATTCACCAGCAGACACATCGAAAAGCCTGTCACTCAAACGAAGAGAATCTCAGACCTGAACCACGACTCAGCCATTATCAGTTTTTGATTAAGAGTATCTGAAATGATCAGAGTTACCATGGTGGTATTGCCAAGCCTAAGAGCAGTGAGTACACCTGAGAGGTTTGCTGGTTTGAGGTGCATACTTTGTGCTCCACTTGTGATTGACTGTAACCTGTCTGTGTGTTTTCAGGGAGTAGAGGACGCCTTCTATACACTGGTAAGAGAGATCAGACAGCATAAGCTTAGGAAGCTGAACCCACCTGATGAGAGCGGTCAGGACTGCATGAGCTGTCGCTGTGTGGTATCGTGATGCAGGTGAGACACTTGTGTGGAATTTTATACCCCTCTTTGACAGTTTAACACTAGGCCAGTCTCCAGATTCCCACACGTCTTCAACTGGAACTCGTATGTTACTTTCAGGATCAACAAGTGTGACGCCATGAGCCCCTCAGCTAAACTTTTATCTGTGTCTTATTTTTCAGTGAATAATAGCACTAACACCTGCCTCTCTCTCTTGTGTGATTTCTTCTTCTTAGCTTAGCGTTGCACATCGAGAAAAAATGCTACAGAGCGTAGCGGCAGCATGGACTTACAGAAAGAAAGAAGAAACAACTCAATGATGAAATATAAACTTTTTCAAAAAGAGAATGATTGAAGCAAAGGCCCGAAAGGAAACCACCGGAGCTGACTGAACCATGGACCTTTATGGACAGGAGGATTTGGACTGTTGCCTAGGCGGCTACCTAAACTAGCCTGGTCCGGCCCTACTTTTAATTTTGGTCTGCACGTCGTCGACCTGAGAGCAACACCACTAATGACTCTCTGTCGACTCCAGTGTGGTCTCGCTGGGTGGCTTCACAAGTTCCCTGCTAACTTATTGTTTTCAGTCTCAACACTGGTCTTAAAAGGGGTGTCTCGGACCTCTTTCCACCTTAAAAGCCTGACTTGCACCCCCCCTGCCTGCCCACTGGAAGGACTGACTGACTTACACGAAGAAGACTGGAATGGACGTTGAGTTACCCCAGCAGCTCTTACATAAATCCCTTCTCATCCCACTCGGTCTACCTTTGGTTTCCCTTGAATGTCTGTGTGTTGTCTGGTTATTGTACTGAAGATAGAGGGTGGAGGCTGATTTGGGGAGGACTATAATTTGTTGTTGTTTGTTTTAACAGTTAGCCTAACTGTAAAAAAAAAAAATCTCAGATTTCATTTTTGATACTGAACTTTTTTTGTGATCATAGAATTTCAAAGTCACTGAGCAATATGTGAGAAAGGTTGATTTATTTCTTACGGCACCTGGTTTGACATTTTTTGAATAACCTGCCTGATACAGTTAGGATTCTCCTTTTCTAGGATAGAAATGTTGAATTGAAAGTTTAAAGCAAGATCAATGTCCAATATGCAGCTGCTTTCCTTTTCTTGTCTCTTTTTGCTAAGAGTTCTCGTCGTGGAATAATAATAATAGTAACGGCTGGTGTACGTAGGTTCAGGTGCAATAGAATTCTTTTCGGTCACAGTTACCCAGGATATTAGGATCAAACCACCTCTCACTGCTACTAATTTTCCTGCGTTGATTGGATTTAGAAAGGAGAGGTACCATGCAGGAAAATAATGTCGCATTTCTTTGGCAAAAGTTGGAGAGGCCCGCAGAAAAGGAAGAAAACACAATGATAGGTTCAGACAAAATGATGACTGGTCCCGCATTTTGTCTTGCTCTTATTCACAGCATGGGGACAACAGTTACTTCTTTAGTTGTAAGAATCACTCTCCGTGGTTTGTAAGGCTCAGGAATCAGGGTCCAGTATGTCTCACCTGTTAAGGTTAAGGATGTCACTGGTTAGCTTTCAGAGCGAAACACACCTCTGCCTCAGAGTCGAACTTGAGTTTTATCCCACACACCATACTATCCTCAAACCGCTCCTCTTTCTCTTTCTCTCTGTCACCTCAGCTTTTAGATGGGACATGAACAGGTCAGGTGCTAATCATGTCAGAACCATATTTTTCTGTATATTATGTTGGAGTGTATAATACCAAGAGAGCTTGGGCTCTCCACACCTGCATTATTTTGCTGCCTCAGTGGAAAAAGACAGCTCTATGTTGACTTTGCCTTATCTGTTCTCTAGTTTGTACCTCATGTATGCAGCGAGTTCTACCTGAGACCACTGTTTGTTTGCTGCATTGTTTTGTTTGTGTTTGTGTCCAACTTAGAAAAAATGTAGAGGGGCTTTAACATGCGCTGTATAGAAAACAAGTTCCTAAAAACACTACACTGATGGTCAAAAAAAGGGTTGTTTGTAGTGGCGTATGCGGCTAAATGTCATCTTGTTTAACTTTGACTGAAAAACTTCCTAAAATCATTTCAACAGAGCCCTTTAAGAGCCAATTTCCTCTCGACTATTTTTGTATTTTTTAAATTGGTACCTGTGATGATGATCAGTTGCTATAAAATTTGACTTTTAATCCAGAATTTTCTCAAACAGTCTGTACATAAGAAGTGGAGTTTTAGAAACAACTGGCAGATTTTGGCCACTGCAAAAACAGATGAGGCATCTTCCATCAAAGGAAAATCAAAAGTAATTTTGCCATTGCTTTTCTTTGAGGGGAATTGATTAGTTTTGTTTAGCTAAATTAACGCTTTTCTTTCATATAATGGTTTAACAAAACGTGATTGGTCTTAGGAACTGTGTGGATGGTAGTGGTTGGGATTTTTGTCATCAGGTACCTTCATTTCTCTATTAGCTGAAGTATGATCTGTGAATGTGTCGAGTCTTTTGATCATTTTTAAAAGAAGTGTCCTCTATTTCAAATTGACAATATTGAGATAATACAAGAACTGGCTTTTTCACCCTTTGTACTCAAACCTTTAAACTGAAAGATTGTGGTGTTTGTAACATGTAATGATGGTCCTAATAGTGTATGCTTGTCCTCACCTTCTTTGAGCATTACATCCACGATAGAACCACAGAAGAAGTCTGAATCTCTGTTTTTGAATTCCCATTGCTTTAAAATACCCCCATCATGTCATCACAGGGAAACTCCAGCCAGCAAACCACAAGTATAGATGTCAGAAAACCTGGCAAGCATGACGAAGACAGTACGGACCGTTTGGGAGTTTTGCACAAGGATACAGTGGGCTCAAGGATTTGTTTCTCCCTTGCAAACTGTGGAACCGGGGTGTGGAGGAAGACTTTGTGAAAAAAAAACAAGTCAACTGTTTAGCTATTTAAGATGTATTTACTCTTTGAACATGTGGCAAATGTATTGCAGGACAGGAATAAAGATGTCAAGATTAAAAATGGGTCTTTGCTCCTCTTCACGCCGCAACTTTTACATCTTAAACCAAAGATTTGCTGCCATCTATGGGCTGCTATGTGCATTGAATAAAGCAAAAATAAACTGGGGCAGGTACTCTTAGTTAGGACATTATTTAATTAGTAACTATAGCTGGAGTAGATCGAACACAGCTGACCTTAAAAAAAGATTCTTGTTATTTCCTGCCTGTGTCTGTATGGTAGGGTAATCATGTGCGAGGAAGAGATGTGTACACAACAAAGAGCTCAAAGGACGGCCATAAACCGTGAGCTCACACTGTTTTATCACTGACAAAGCAATTTACTAGATGTTTTTGATTGTATGAGTAAACATGTGAGGAGACAGAAGATAGCAGAACCAGTTAGTGCATAAAAAATAGGTCAGGTGTGTTTGGTTAATTTACAGCTACCGAGAAGGAAGGAAAGGGAGTTAAAAACACAATGGAAAGGTGAGCAATTAAAGGACTATTCCTTATTTTAAATCATACACATTTTCTAAATATATACCAATAGGTTTAATTGTTTAAAGGTTATTCACTCAGTTTTTCCTTGACAATAAATAATCGGTTGTTTTTGTCTTAAAATCTGGACTTGTTCAGATTTCAATTTGGTTCTTTTCCAGCCAGCAAAGTCTATTTTCTCAAGGTAATGGGATCATGTGGAAAAAACGGAAAAAAATGAATAACAGGTTTTAACATCCCTAAAATAAAAATAATTTTAGCTCTCAGGCAAACAACTGAAGTCTACTTGTTATCACAGAGAACCTGGGGTTGTTATCCTTAGACGACAAGAAAATGAATAAAGAGCTTCAGAAAAAACAGCCATAAATGACTCATTATCTTATAAATAAAATGTATGGACACATTCTCAACTCAGAGCTTCCATAGATCTTACTAGAATGAATGGCCACACACTGACTGTAGCTTCATTTTTTTTTGTCTTTTTACAATATTTGTATTAACGTTTCACTTTTTTTTAGTCAAGGATGGATCCATAATATGGTCAACAGAAACAAAAAGCAAAACAAAAAGCAAACAAACAAACAAACAAATCAAAAAATCTGATCACCAGCTCGGATCTATAGAAATAATACCTGGGGTTATGGTAAAAATGTACAGTATGTGCAGTCAAGAAAATCCTTGCAACATGATATTAGAGACACCAGGCTCTACATAGTTCAAATAGAGGTGGTTGTAGCTTGATTTAGAAATCATTAATGCTACCATTAATGATTTCTAAATCAATCAAAATAAAACACTACTGTTTTATTTTTAAAAAAAATTTAAGTGGGGAATAAAAGGAAAGAAACAGAAAGAAAAATCTGAGCTAAAGATATTTAAGACAGTTTCACTGTAAACACAACAAAAATCTGGCTTCTTCACCGGTCATTTTGCAATCAACAGTAATAATGCACCGAATAAAGTTTTTGGGTCACTCATGTTTTCCTGTCTTGTTTGGTTGAGCTGTGTAGCCTAGTTTTTACTTTTTAGGGCAGATGATTTGCATAAATGTGAGGCTGCTTTCTTACTGGCTTTCAAGGGTCATAAAAGACAGGAGCTTATACATAAACCCGGGACAGACGAGACACTGAGGACTTGAGAGGGAAAGCGATCGTGAAGATACACAGAGTGTGATTTTTCACCATAAAGAATAAGCTGTAATCATGTCTTACTGCGAGGAAAAAATAAAGAAAAAGCTGCCAAAGGTAAGAAATATCTTTCGCAATTAAAAGAAGAGTATCTATTTATTACCAACTTTAGGATCGGTGCTGTTTAATAATTTATATTTATCCTTTTCAAATGAAGACGTACCTTCGGAAGCATGTTGCTCATGAAATAGGTGTTGCACTGACTTTCTACAAACACCTCGTCCCAGTGATGGACAAATACTGTAAGAAAAATTGATGTGTGGCTAAACTTCCTCAACTTGAAGAATATTACAGCTACAGCAGTCTAAAGTACAGTTAACACTCATTGTTTAATGTTTTACAGTTTACAATGATGGCACCTCAAAAGACTTGATGAGTATAACTGGGACCATTCCAGTCAAATTTGATGGTAAAGTCGCTTTAACTTCCTCCTTGTTTTATTCTGTGTAACCTCATAAAAGGTTACAGTATAACTTGAAGCTGACTTGAAGCTTTCTGATTTCACATGTATAAAAAATAAATTCTGCCTATTCCAACAAAAGATAAGACTTACAACATCCCAGTGTGCCTGTGGCTGGAGGAAAGCTACCCCCAAACTGCTCCCATCTGCTACGTCAGACCCACTCGAGAGATGAAGGTGCTCAAAGGAACTTTTGTGTCCAGCGACGGCAAAGTGGAGCTGCCTTACCTGGATGAGTGGAAAACAGTAAGAAATTCAGCGTTGTGTCAGCTAAATGTAAAATGGGATATTACTTGGTTTTACAGGTATACATAATTTGAGTGCTTTTTTTTCTTCTTTCAGGGTGAATGTGACCTAGTAAGCCTCCTACAGGTGATGTGCGTCATGTTTGGAGACTTTCCTCCTGTGTGCAGCCTCTTACATCAACCTAATCCAGAGCCAGAACAAGCCTCTTGTACGTATCACACATACAGACAGTCAACAAGCAGGTTGCAAACTTGATTTAAGCCCTGCATATAAACTGATATGAGATAAAAATCCATGTCTACCTTCATTAATCTCAGACTAAAGGTGCCTCTCCTTTGTCAGCATGTTTATGACCCTGTTGTGATTGCTGTGACCTGTTCTTTTTTAGGTTGGCTGCAGTTCCAGAGAGAAGCGCAGATCTACTCAGACTCAAATGGAAGTATGTACATGTATTTACCCAGAGAAGACGGTCAGTTCTTTCAGCAAGAGCATGAAACAACCTGCTAGTCATGAATGGAATTTTGGCATGTATTTTTAAGGACTGTGTTGTCTCAGTATGTTTTTTTTTTCTGTTTCAATGGTATCCATTGTTAAGTTTATGTGTCATTAATGATCAATTCTGTATATCAAGTGATTTTGAAAGTAAATGTCTGTGAAAAACATACCGGTTGTGTATTTTTTGACATGCTTTTGAATGTTTTTCAGCTGAACATAAACCTAAAGCATATTCCCGTGACTTCATTTCCCTGAATCGTTTTATCTTGTTTAACTGCACCTATAAAATCTGTTATATTTTGACTTATTCAGAAATGTTTTGGACCTTTGACCAATGAACAGTTACTAGGTAACTTAGAAAAACACACACCCTGCCTATGAAGGATGATTCATTGTGTAATTGAAGTTTAATGTGAAAATTTGCAGATTTCACTGAGGTATTTTAAAACTAAATTCTATTGATTTCAGCTGTTTTATGCAAGGGTGTTAATCAATGTTTGACAACTTATTTTGCTCATTTCAAAAATGTTTACACTTGCAAGACATCCTCACAAGCTTTTATCTTCTGTATGAAATAATAAAGTTTTCAATTCAATGCTTCAAAAGATAGAGAGATTTGTATTATATTCTTTTTCTCTTGTTTACTGCTTACTGGATTCTTAGAATTGTCATTGAGTAACAGGAGTTAGATCTACAATTGACCGGTCTGGATATGACTGTTCATGTTTCCAATGATTTAAGTGTTGATTTTTCTAGCAAGGCTACAGGTTTTGGTTGAAAAAAAATTATTTCACTTGTTGAGCAGCTTTGACAAAAAAAAAATAAATAAATGAAAAAATAATTGCTCTAGGAGTGCAGGACAGATCTGGGCTTTTTTTTCTTTTAAATCTCTTCAAGATATATCAGTGTGGAGCATTTACAGCTGTATAATGCCCATCAAAAACATGGGACAGGCCATGTTTTATAAGTCATCCCGATACATCCATGTTTTTAAAATATGTATAATATCTGTCATGATTAAGTCTAGCCTGCTTAAAAATAATACTTAAAACTAGGCTAGTATTAAATAAGCGCCTTGCTTTTGCCTGTGGCGTTTCTGTCACCAACCAGTATACTATTGTGGTTTAAGTGTTTGCACTGCGAAACATGTAATTGTATGGTGACTGAATAAAGAAACAACAAAACATCATCTGCCATGAATCATCTCCACAGTGTGATTATTTGTCTGTTCAGCTCATCATGGAGGCTATGTTGATGTTTCAGGGACGCCAGAATCAGTCCGTAGCACAGCTCTACACAGCTGATCGTGGAAGTGCTGATACCTAAACTTAATCACAATAAAATGCAGAATTGGAGCAAACAGCACAGAGCTGTCAAAGTTTTTGATTTTGTGCTTAGATATCATTAAAGCAGTGTGCTTTGTTGACCCTGACATGGAGCAGATAGTGGGGGTAAATGCAGTTCTGGGTCCAGTTAGTGGCCACAGCCCATCCTCAAGGAGCCTTTTCTCTACTCTTTTGTTTAATTTGATCAGATGGAGTTTGACTGCTGTAGCAGCAGGACAAAAGCTGACCATTTGGACCAGGTGTATAGAAGCAGGGCAGCGTCTAAAACACACAGAGCACCAGAGGACCAGAGCTGGGAGACACTGCTTTGGTCTATCCGCCCTTACAAAAAGTAGCCAAATTGCACAGTTTCCCTGTGGTAGGCTACCAGGCAAAAACCTGTTTGATGAGTGAACAGAATAGAATCACAACAACGTTTTCTTATCAATGCACATATTTTCACTTATTAACGTTTTTCACTTTAATCATAAATAAATTACATAATAACATCAGCATTTCTGGCAATGCATCCAAAGTAGTTTTGGCTTCAAAAATTTAAGTTCTTGATATGAAATAATGTGACTATTGCAGCTCTTAGTTTTACTCGCTTGAGAAGCAGCTTGTGTGTTATAATTTTAAAAAATTAAGAAAAAAGAAAGAAATAAACAAGCAAACAACTTTAAACGCCTTTGCCCTTGCACTGACCTGAACTTCTCATGATGAACGGTACTTGTTTTCATGCATAAACATAATATACGTACACATATATCACGTCTATGGTTTCATGCGTCTTAGCACGGCACAGGAACCAATGTCGTCTACTTGTCCCCTGTCGACGCTAAGTGAGGACCGGACGCTGTCAGTACAATTCCGGAAATTCTTCGAGTTGGTTTGCGGATATTTATTTTCTTGTCTGTTTGAAGACTTTCTTTTTTATCTATTCGATTGGGTTTCCATTTTAAAATCGATCCGCCAAGTCTTGTTGTGTCCAAAAAGGTGACCTTATACCCGTTGAATTAGAGCGTGTCTGTGTTATATTAGGGCCCGGAACTGGGCTAACACTAGCCTAGCATTCACTGCTAGCTTTAGCTTATGTGAGCCGTCACTACAGTCGGCTTAAAACTCATCTGTACCTCATCCAGTCAACTGTGTAACTCATTAACAGAACATCAGTGAAGTTAAACCATGGCTGTCGTCAACGAAGGAGCGCTGAAGAAAATGCTGAAGGTGAGACTGTTCGGTTTCAGTCATGTTAGCAGGCTAGCTAATGATACCGATACTTAACATGAAAGCAGAGCTTTTCTTCAGAGCAGGTTTGCATTTCCTGAAAAGGCCAAAAACAACAACAAGAACACATCATTCCTTCTCAGAGCGTATTACATAAGATATTTAGGATACCATGAAAAAAGTATCTCACTCCACTTTAAACCCCGTTAACAAATACAGACATCGCCCTTTACAGTTTAACTTTTAACCCAGCAGAAACTTCAATCACTGTTGTGGAAACCTTTGGCAAATACTAATTAAATCTTAGATTTAACGCCCTGCAGTGATCCTACATGTCAGTCAATGTGTTTGGTGAGGGCTGGTGAATGTATTTAACAGATATGTAAACTCCTGTAGAGTAAAATGAATGTGTGCCATGTATGAAAGAAACCCATTAATGAGGCGATGACCACAAGCCATGTTTGATCGAGTAAATAAGTTCACAGCTGATCATCTAGATCGGACTGAAATTTATCACGATCATGTTATCACCCTATCCTAAGTTCAAGTGTCTTGTTTGATACAATATAAAATCTTTTAATTATTACCTTGAAGTAGTAGTTTTAACTTATTGCAAATGCAATCCAAAATTTACGTATTGGTTTAAAGTTTTGTTTTACCTGTTGTCATTATGCAGCAATACAAGTATAGAGATCTGACTGTTCGAGAGATAACCAACGTCATCTCCCAGTACAAGGACTTGAAGCCCGTCATGGATGCTTATGGTAAATTTTATTTTACTAATCTCACCGACAAGGTCTGAAATTTACTTGTTAATCTTCACTTTTCAAAATTAACATTTAATCATTTGTTCTTCCAGTGTTTAATGATGGTTCCACAAGAGACCTGATGAGCCTGACGGGAACTGTGCCAGTCAGCTACAGAGGTGACCCCCACACTTGTTTTTTTTTTTTTTTTCTAAACATCAGTTAGACCCATACCTGCCAACATTTCAGTGAAGTTTTCATTTTGCAACAAGCACTGTTTAAATATAGTTCACAGCTTAAACTGAACTGAATCGTCTCAAATTGTAAAAAGTATCAGTCCAGTGTCTGTGAGGCTCAGCAGAAACATAGGACAATTTTAGGTTGTTTGGATCCCTGGCAAATTTGGACAAATATAGTGATCTGTTTAATTCATGAATGACTAGGACCATGCAAACTACGAGAGATTTCTGGGAGAAATGACAATACGGGAGGTGGGCGGGAGATAGGTCTGAGATACAGGAGAGTCCGGGGAAAAACGGGAATGTTGGCAGGTATGGTTAGACCACACAGGGTAGGAGGAAGATAAATGTTGTGTGTTACCCACTGTACTTTTCTGGCTCAACAGCATTTTCTCTTTTTATTTTTGTTGTCTCAAATAGCTTTGACTTGTTATCTTTTACCTTTAAACTCAGACCTGTTATCAGTATGGTGCAAGACATAGAAAGAATCGTCCTTCACTGAAAGAAAAGCTGAAGACAAAGTGGATGGTTTATTTTGTTACTCTTGTTTTGCTGGTTTTCTTACTGCTTAGGCCTCTTGGCTTCAACGTCATACAAGAAACAGTAAATTGTATCATCGATCAGTACATAATATTAAAAGTCCTGAATGCCAATAAACTATTGTTGAGCCTGCATAACTTTGGGTCTTTTTTAATTTAGGGCTATGCTTCAAATTGCTACTTTACTTGATTAGAAGATCAGAAGATTTTGTGGATTGAACATGATTGTTTTTGTCTACAGTAGAATTAACTGTTACTGTAAGTTGATATGGATGTGATATTTAACAGAGTTTGCTGTGTGTGATTTTTGCAGGCAATGTCTACAACATCCCAGTGTGTCTGTGGTTGCTAGACACATATCCCTACAATCCTCCAATATGTTTTGTCAAACCTACCAGTGCCATGATGATTAAAACTGGCAAACACATCGATGCCAATGGCAAAATTTACCTGCCTTACTTACACGAGTGGAAACACGTAAGTGGGATGACTTGAATCTTGCATTAACATTAATAGGGTTTAATTAAAAAAGTGTTGATTTATGATTGATGGAAGGTGCAACATTTGGAAAAAGAAATGAATAAGCAATAACAGAAGGTTGAGATGACAAGTGTCAACTAAGGTAGTGTTGTGCTAGTTCACACTCAAGATATGCACGCTCAAAGTTCAGTTCACACACATTAAAATTAATTAGTTTATGGCTGTAGTTACTTTATCAAAATTTGAACAAGGTTTATTGTCTGAAAACATGAACTAGTTTTTTAGTAGCACCAAGATTTTTTCCTATAGAGCCTCCTAAGCTTCAACACCTCACATTCAATCACTGACATATCCTAAACTTAATGAATTATTGTATTTTACTGTTGATCTTGGACAGATATTTGGTTTAAAAAAATCCCATTAGGGTATGTGAACTACTTGAACATGGGAAAAAATCTGCAAAACTTAGAAACACACTAGACCATATGTTTTGGCCTGAAGCTTCCAATTTGAATAACCAAATACTCAGGGAACAACAGCTTAGTAAAAGACAACACGGGTGAGATTGTTTTCACATCCCCTGAAATAAAGAGGGTAAGTCCAACATCGATTCTCCATCATCCTTATGTTTTTTGTTTTGTTTTCAGCTTGGATTAATTTCCTAATTTGTCCAGAAAACTCCCTGAAATCTTCACTAGAGGTTGCTTTGTCAGAACAGCTACATAAATAAACTGCGACCGTTTAAGAATTACAAACTGAGCCATACAGTTCACCATTTACCGAAACATGTATTCAATGAATGCCTACAGTTTAGTACGTTTTCTCACAACACTGAACTGAGAATGTTGATATATTCAATACTTCAGTACTTTTGAAATACCATGTGCTTTGAGCCTATACAGTCACCTTTATTTTTACAGTATACCAAAAAAAAAAACACTGCAGGTTATTAAAAAAAAAAACACAGATCCATGTTCATATGTTCGCTGAAAGGGAAACGAGTAAGTGAGCAGCAGTGACAGACGGGAAGAGATAAAGTAAAGAGAAGAGACAAAGAAGAAGTCCAGATAAACAAAGAGCATTTTTCTAATTACTACACAGCGGTAGCATTTTGAAAAAAAATTACAGCTATAACAATAAAATGATACATTAGTAAACAACTAAATATTGACAGGAAACATTTTTACTGTAAATACACACACCTTTAATTATTTCCTATCATTGTGTCAAAGTATTGATATAATGAAAACTCTAGCATCAAGGACCGTAGATTTAACCGGTTCGCTGGAATATTTGGTTACGTCTGTGACTGCACAATAAGGTGCTTCATTGAAGAAAAATACCATCTTAGGCTGATGTTTGAACAGGGACCCACCTTTAAAACAGCTCTTTTTGTATTTGTGCTCTTGGTCAATAAACCCTGTTGCTCCCTGTATGTTTTGCAGCCTCAGTCAGACTTGTATGGACTGATTCAGGTGATGATTGTGGTGTTTGGAGAGGAGCCCCCTGTGTTTTCTCGTCCAACCACCCAAGCCCCTTACCAAGCCTTCCAAGCAGCTGGACCACCCAACCGTGAGTGGCTAACATGTAATATGCAAAGAGGCCAATGTTAGTCCTTTAGAGCCTTCTGTTTCAAGAGATGTAGTTGTTTTTTTAAGCACCAGATGGTGCTCAGATACCAATAAATCTCCCCATGGAAAATGAAAGTAGTGTCTGAGTTGGAATGAATGGGAAGAGTACCTTCACCTGTTTTTCCCCACTTCTTATTGCTATTTTTCCCCTCTTCCACAGCTTCATACATGCCCGGCATGCCTGCAGTCTCGCCCTATGGTCCAAATCCCAACCCAGGGTAAGATGTTTGCCAAGCAGGTTTCAACCTTTAAATCTTTACTGGCATGTTTAGTTTGTGGTTTCTGTCCCCGCTTATCACAGTGAGGCACATTTCTCACCAAAGAGCTGCACAGTTGGTTCAGTTACATTTTCAGCTGGAGGACAAAAGCTGGTCTGACATTTTTGAAAATGGAAAATATAAAGAGTATGCTCCGTGACATGCATTTGACCATTCACAGAGGCTATCCGGGATATCAGTACCCAGGGGGCAACTCTTACCCAGCAACTGCTGGACCTGCACACTACCCCGGCCAGACTCCAGTTTCCACAGTGGGTATGTATCGCATCCAGAATCAAGGGTGCTTTTATTGTCTTCGACTTGATATGATGTTTTCACTCTCAAAAAGAGAGCTTCATTCACCTTAGACAATACAGTATATCACATCCTTCTCATGGTCATCGGTTAACCCTGAAGTGAGACACCTGACCTTTTGACTCAAACTCACTCACCCTCCGAGTGACTTCTGTGGCGCGCTGAGCTGCCAGTGAAAGGTCGTGAGTGTAACCAGAGTGGGGTGCATTAAAGGCCAAAGGGTAGGACAGACCTGAAGGGAAGGAAAGAGTCTCCCTCTGCAGCCCTCGTACTCTGCACCTCTAGAGGACTCAGGAGTGCTATATTTAAGGAGAAACCTCACACAAAGGTACACCTAGGATCATGAGACCTTTCTACTGTCCAAACATCACTTAGCACTGCTGAATTACTCGTCATGGACTAGCATGCAAGAGGAGATTTGGCTGTTTCCTATATTTAGTAAAGCATAGATAAATGGGTTAAGCTGTGGACTCCTCAGATCTCAAAGCTGAATCAACTTTGACATTTGTTGTGCCGATTTCAGTCTGCACATGATGAGGTGGTCTTGACTCTCAGTAGAGTATATTCACTTATATAACCTGGTGAAGCTCTGTGGCTTCAGTTTGTCATGGAGTAGTATTGACTCAAATGTTTTCATATTTCATTGTTTAGGTTATTTTAATGATGGAATTTCATTTTGGTACTAAATGCAAAATTTTAAGTTACATTGTTGTCACCATGCTCAGCATCCATTTTTATAACATCTTTTACTATATGTCTCCATTTTGGAGCAGTTAGTTTGAAAATCTATGTCTCAAGGCTTTAGTTGCCACTTTACTAGAGCTCTTGAATGTAGCAACCTTCTCTAGATATATAACTACTCTGGCCTTGATGTCTGTGAGCTGTGCTGTGTCTTTGCAAGGCTCTAGGTATTTCAGAAATGTACTGGCTTATCGCCAGGTTAGGGGTCAAGTAAGGCTGGGTGATAGGGGAAAAAGTTTATCACGATATATTTTTTTCATATCAGTCAATATCAATAAATGTCACGATATAAAAAAATCACTTTTGAATCTTAAATGTTCCCTGTTACTCTTGAATGAAATTTCACTCCACATAACTTGCAGTGCACATTACTCTGCTTCATGTCTGACCTCAAAAAACCAAAATACCTCGACACCACCGATGGTTTTTCTGCCAGTGTTGTCGACAATGTCATGATCTGTTAAGCCTTCATCTGCATTTCTGTGTGTGTAGCTGCAGCCTGCTACTACGCAATTGTTTGCTACTTGGTTCTAATTCAGCACGACTGGTTCAGCACGGTGCGACCTGGAGCAGCTCCCGTTTTCATTGGCTATTCATATAGTCTACCAAAACATGGCAGAGTGCCGACTATCACAAAGCATATTGACCATGTTTCATATCAATATCAAGGGAAATTAATTTTTGATATATATCATTGTCATTTATCACTCAGCCCTCGGGTCAAGCATAACAAATCCCTATCCTACCAGCGATGATTGTAGCAGCAGGTGTTTTTTTTTCTTTCTTTGTAAGTCTCTCTGTCCTTTGGTGAACACGATAGTAAAGGGAAGTTAGCATTGAATAAATCAAGAATGAAACAGGCATCAACTTGAGGTCAAAAACTGCTTCGCATTGACTTGCATCCCTCTTCAACCTCTCCCCCTCAAGGCCAGAGCAGAGATGGCACCATTGGCGAGGACACAATCCGTGCGTCTCTGATATCGGCTGTGAGCGATAAGCTGCGCTGGAGGATGAAGGAGGAGATGGACAGAGCTCAGGCGGAGCTGGACGCCCTGAAAAGAACAGAGGAGGACTTGAAAAAAGGACATCAGAAGCTGGAGGAGATGGTCTCTCGACTGGACCAGGAAGTGGTGAGATACCCTGTTATGTTATCTGTACCTCAGCTCTGACTCTGTGCTATCCTTCTGTTTTAACGCAGCGGTATCTTTCTGATCTCTTTGTTTTTCATTAGTCTGAGGTCGACAGGAATATCGAGCTGCTGAAGAGAAAGGATGAGGAGTTGAGTGAAGCCTTGGAGAAGATGGAGAACCAATCAGAGAACAATGACATCGATGACGTCATTGTACCCACAGCTCCACTCTACAAACAAATCCTGAACCTTTATGCTGAAGAAAATGCAATTGAGGACACTATCTTTTACTTGGGGGAGGCTCTTCGTCGTGGCGTCATAGACCTGGAGGTTTTTCTTAAGGTGATGCATGAAATCATATCTTCAGAGCCTGTATCGTAAAAATATCAGGGCAGCCAGGATGTCATTTTATTGACTTTTCTTCTCTTTTGTCACAGCATGTCCGTCTTCAGTCAAGGAAGCAATTCCAGCTTCGAGCTCTTATGCAGAAAGCCCGCAAGACTGCCGGCCTCAGTGACCTCTACTGACCTAAGCTGATGACCTGGAAACATTTAGATCTGTATCCTCTCTTTTTCATCTTCCTTCTCTTCTCCCTTTTACATGTCTTTTGTATTAAAAAAAGCTGACCCTCTTTTATCTCCACAACATCTATTCCTTTGAGACAGAGACCCTTACAGCTGCAACAGGGAATCTCTGAAACTGCAGCTTTTATAAGGAATCAGGCTGTCTCGTTTGGGGCAGTGAATTTCAAATTGTAAGGCCACAGTTCTGCTCAGACATTATTTGTTTGTTGATGAGTTTAAATGATTCTTTTAAGCTATTATATATATCTAGATAGAACGGATTTGCAAGAAATGTCCGTATTACATTTTTGCCCAATATCAAACTAGGGGTGTCCCGATACAGTATTTATATCGGATATCAGTCCGATATCAGCAAAAAAAAAAGAATATCGGATTATATCGGCCAGCATCTAAAATCTCCGATATCAGCACTCCAGTACTAGCAGTCCATTCCAGATTCCGCGCCGGCACCTCTATCTAGCAGCGCCCAGATTTAGCATGCAGAGCTCACATGATCACAACAACAGTGTTACTAAGGTACTAACAAAGTAGCAAAGAGTTGGAGTGTTGTCAGCCGTTTTTTTGTTTAAGTTGGTAAAAGACATTGCAGCTGAGTGCAAAACTTGTCATACACAATTTTGTTCCAATATTGGTATCAGTCAATATTGAAGGTTACAATATCGGTATTGTATCGGAAGTTAAAAAGTTGTATCAGGACACCCCTATATCAAACTAAGCCTAATGTGACCACAACATGAACCAGGTACTGTGATAACACATACAACATATTTAATTTACATACAGTATAGCTTAAAGTTAGGTTAAATTCAGGTTTGTGCGGCTGGCTTACTGTGAGTGATTGTCTCAACCTGCCTGCGTGCGCTGCATTGTAGGTCAGCTCACAGGTTCTGTTGTAAAAATGGTCCGCAGACAAAGTCATTTTGCTTGTAAGCACAAACTTTCAGGGGCTAGTAAAGAGGGGATTTGCAGAGGGCCTCATATATACAGCCCCTCATAATGAAAAGGTTAAGCTATGGTAAAAAGAAATACCCAGGGCAGCCTTAAAGGGCAGGCGTTTGGGATTTTATGATGTATGAGGTCATGTTCAGTAGCCATGGAGACAGAGTTGATGAACATGGATCTGAGAGATGTTTCTTCACGGTCTCCTTTAATCTGTTAATGAGCCTCATTTTGTAGCTCCACTGATGTTTCCTCACGACTGTGTGTTTTTCCCTGTTCTGTGTTGAATTACAATAGTGTGGTTGAGCTTCTTTCATCGTTAGTCAGCTTCCCAGGTCCACCCTCCAGTCTGACCGCATTAACCAGTCAATTGCGTGCAGCTTTGGCTTACTCTGTACCGTGTCTTTGTTAAAGGTGGACAACAGCTTTGCTTTACTCTGAGGTGAAATGGAATTTTTCTTACTTTTTCTTGTTTTCTGTTTTTCTCTGTGCTGTCCACTCATTCTCAGACATAAAAATGTCTAACATATATCGGAAAAAGTGTGAATACAGGCGAAGTCTTGAAGGGGGTACATTGTACTAATCAAAAAGTTAACTTGTGTAAAGTTTGCAAACAGGTCTCATTTAATTTAGCCTTTTACTAAATGCACTTTGAATTGTATGATAGATTCTCTACTGTTATTATTTTTCTTTGTTTCCAATTCAACCATAGACCACCTGTTCTTTTATATATCTGTAGATTTATGTAAATCAGAACAAATAAAAGAAATCTGATTTATTGGCTTGTCTTCCTGGAATCCTTTTAACCAATCACTACTGTTTAATTTGGAGGGTTATCAATAGTAAGACAGCTGTTTTCAGTGTCTGTCAAAGAGAATTCTACCATATCACCCGCTATGTGTATTTTATAATTCTGTGTTTAGGTTGATTATCTTTTTTTTTTAAATACCAACGAGTGTGGCAGTATTTTGCTATCAAAACGTTCGACTGATCTGCTGCATAAAACCCCTCCACTCTGCCACGTGATGACCCATAGTTGTGCACTGAGCGTGGCTGAGTCAGCTGCTCTGTTGACACACACAAACAGAAAAGGACAAAGGACACTTTTTTTTCTTTTATCTATCCTGGCAGATTTATTTGGTGTTACAGCAAATAAAAATGGATATATCCAGCTGCCATGACAGGTACAGTTCTTTAGCCAGTCAGTCAGGTGGTTCATTGACCTCATCTAATGTAACATTAATACATAAATAGATCTCGACAGCATTAACAGTTATAAATAATACTATACTTCATTCTCTTGATGTTTCCAGACTTAGTGAAGTAAAATAAATATAAAACCCTTTGAGGGTGTTAGGGTGCGAACACAAATGACACCGTTTTTGAGGTTGTTACCTTTTTTATGATAACCCGATTGGCCATAATTATAGCTGACTCTTTCCCATTGGATCTCTTATCTTTTTGATATATCAGCATTTCACTACTTTAACTCTAATGCAACCTGTTGCTTCTTTCTAAAACCTTGACCTCTAAATGGTTTGTTTGTTTCTGTCAGTGCACTTGTGGTTTAGGAGGTGTACAAAGGCTCCAATGCCAACCTGTAGACGCAGCATTGCTTTTTTTTTTTCTTTTCTCAAATGATAAGGTACTTTGGTATCACAGGGGTTTGGCCTTGTGATATATGCAGCTTTGTTGTTATGGCTGTCAGTGGGTAGGAAGCCCTCCTCACAGAGAATGGAATGTCTCCATTATAATCCAAATAGACAGAGATAACCAAGTGGAAAAAAAAAACAACAACCGGTAACAACCACATGAAATACAGGGTTTACAGGCAGGGAGTGGACAGAAGAAGCAGCAACAGGACACACTAACATACAGTACATGGAGTATATACGCTCAATGCGCTAAGGCTTGAGTTTTCTTGTCTGTAGAGGACAAACAGGTAATCCACTCTTCAACACAGGCTAAAAGTATGTGAAGTGTTTGAGGATTCGGTTATGGAGGCAGGAGGACAGGTGAGAAGCAGCAAAGGAAAACTACAACCATGTTTGAATATCCAAAGGTAACATCTAGCACCCTGCTACTTAAGCTACAGACACCGTTTTAGATATTCTCCGGTTTCATTTGCCCTTTGCGGTGAGGGACACAGGGGGGTACAGTAGGAGGGAGTCGAACCACACAGTGCTGGGTGTGGTTGCAGCGTGAGGATTCAGAGGACAGCTCTTCACAGGGTGAGCTCCTTCTGTACGCCCCACAGGGTCTCAGCGCTCTTCTGCACCTGCTTCTCCTCATCGGGTTTCAGCGTCATGTGAATCACATCAGTCAGGCCACTGTTGCCAAGGACACAGGGGACGCTCAAGAACACCTCATCCTTCACTCCATGCATGCCCTAAAGACGATCAGAAGACAGCCGAGTCAGGATTGGTGGGTGGTTTTGAAGCATTTAGAGAAAAATACAAGTAAGTCGGTTAATGTTAGGGTTCAATCTTCTCACCTGGACCAGTGTGGACACGGGGTGCACTTTGTGGAGGTTCTTAATGATGCTTTCCACCAGGTCAGCCACAGACATACCGATGGCCCAGGAGGTGTAGCCCTTCAGCTTAATAACCTCATAGGCTCTGTAGTAAACACATAAAATGACAACAATACAAGTTAGAGCAGCACATGTCTTTATCTAAAGAGGAAATCAAGCTGTCTGGACGCTGGTTTAGCTTAGAGATGGCCAAGGTTTGACTCCTCTGTGTGTTCCTTTACCTGGGTTTCTACACAATTGGGATTTCCATACTTCCCCATGGCCTGATCTTTAGAATTATTTTTGGAAAAACCTACTTTTCTATTTTAGAAAAAAGTATTTTAGAACTGTGGTACTGGTCTGAAAACACAAATATTTTTCCATTCTTTATTTTTCATACTTTTTAAGACCTGGAAATTGATCAAATTTATTTCCATACTTGCGTAGGAACCCTGTGACATTCATTGCCTACTTATTCCTCCAAGTATCTTACTCTATTCATTGTCCTATCTCTAGATAAAACCATAAAAGATCTCCTGAAACTTTGAAAAAGAAAATGACAAAGAAAATGAAGCTGTCTGCCCACTCCGGTCGTCTTCCTGCTTTGTCATTTTCCTCTAAAATCCCTCATCTATCTTCTCTCCAGACGTCGTCATGAGAATTAATCTGTTTGTCACCATCGCACAGACACTTAATTGATCGCTGCCTACGTGTTCGTTCAGTTCCTGATGCATCTTTATTTGAGGAAGTCTGTCGTTTTAGTCACCAATCTCAGCCCTGCAAACTGAATGTAAAAAGTGTGTGTATGCAGAGCAAACAAATCTGGTATATGTGAGCCAAGTGAGTACACTTCAGATGGCAGCAGACTGTTGTAAAACTAGTTCTGGACATTTCAAGACCAGTTTGGTGAGTGAAAAAACTATAAAAAAGGGAACATGAATAGAAAGGTGAAACGTAACTGTGTTTATCAGATTGAAAGATTTCACACTTGAAAAAAAGTCTAAGAATCATTCACCTCCTTTCTGTTGACATGTGCATTGTGCATTATATTCATTGTGTTCCCCTTGTCTTGTGAAACCCTCTATTCTTTCCTCAAACCTTTGTAAACATGTTTGATAACTCGACCATTGTGTCGTACACGGTTGACCTTCCTAAATCCCTGGCAATTGTGAAACAAGTTTGACTGACAAGATTTTGAGGTGAACTTCTCAACCTGTAACTTTTGAACAAATGTCTCAACTCTATATTGAAGCACAGAAAAACAGGTAAGACAATGTGTATGAGTTAAAATGGACAGGTCTATTATTGTCAAGTTTTTCACTGAGGCACACCTGGGATTGTGACTGAGGTCAGGAGTATGAGTTTCGGACAAATTAGAGGGAGCATCATAGTTTTTGTTTATGTAGAGGCTGCCAGGCCGGACACTGAACTCTAAACACAGCTGTGCACCGTGGACCCACCTCCGCTTGTCTTTTGGCTCACAGCCATGACCAAATTCCTCATCAGGGCTTGTCAGAGTCCCCAGATTCAAACATGCCTGTTGGGATTTTTTTTAGGTCGCTGTAGGTAACTTGAGGTAAAGACCATTAAATTTTAACATCTGTTTTAATAAAACATAACATTGATTGTTCCCCAGTCAGTGCTGGACAGATGGCCTCTCCTCTCACATGGCTGCTTGATTTGCAAATCAAATAGATGAATGTGAGAGAGATGAATCGGTGTTCAGGGAGTGCTTTCAGAACCTGAACGAGTGGAGTGCTGGAGATTATTTCTACTCACCCATCGACCACCATCTTATGCACCTCCTTCCAGTTCTCAGCGTCACCTTCAGCACCCATCTGTGGGTTGAGGCCCTGCAGGGAAACTCCAGCAACGTTCACGCCGCTCCATACAGGCACTAGAAGAAAACAGACAGATCATAATTAGAGATAAACTGGTTCTTCTTGAACGTGACATGAAAATAAGGTTGTAAAATATTATTTCCAGGCCAACAAGGAGGTACATTTAAAGGCTAGTCCTAAAGAGATCTTATTTTTAGCATGGGCTGCATACCACTGGAGTCTCCATGCTCCCCAATGATCCAGCCGTGGCAGCTGGAAGGGTGGAGGTGGAGCTTCTCCCCCATGAGGTGGCGGAAACGGGCAGAGTCAAGGTTGGTGCCAGAGCCGATGATACGGTGACGGGGGAAACCGCTCAGCTTCCAGGCCACATAGGTCAGGATGTCCACTGGGGAGGTCAAGGATGAGAGGGGACAACTCTTAGACATTATGACCCCAAGTTTGCACGTATCAAATTCCACTCCCCTTACAGTCAGTCGGTCTTACCTGGGTTGGAGACCACCATCAGGATACAGTTGGGGCTGTACTTGACAATGTTTGGGATGATGAACTTGAAGATGTTGACATTACGCTGAACCAAGTTCAGACGGCTCTCGCCCTCCTGCTGGCGGGCACCGGCTGTCACCACCACCACTTTGGAGTTGGCTGTCACACTGTAGTCTAATAAACCCACAAAACACAGAGACTTTCAAACAGTGCCACAGAAAAGCGGGTTCACTTTGGGGTCAAGTGACTCATGAGAATTAAAATGTTCATTTTAATAGGAAAAGGTGGTGGTGGTGGTGGTACTTTTAATGTGTGTTTTCACCTTTGTCAGCAACAATCTTGTGTGTCTTCAGGAAGAGGGATCCATGCTGAAGGTCCATGGCCTCGCCCTTCAACTTGTCCTCCATCACATCAACCAAGGCCAGCTCATCACAAAGGTCCTGATTATGAACAGACATGAAATAAGTCTCTCACACTGAGTCTATTATCTGAACAAAGCTGCAGTCAGGCTGACGTGTGTTACTAACAAGTTTCAACATGAGCAGAAAAAAAAGAAAAGGGGAAAAAAAAAATCTATATCTCATTGCACAGGAAGTCATGAGAGCTAGGATCTGCTTTCCCCTCCTCTGTTCTAGTGCTGGAACAAATCCAGCTTCATAGTTTTGAATAGTGCAGTACTAAATGAAGGAGTGCTTCCTGTCAAGTTTGCGTGACAGTTTTGTTATCCCCGTTGAGTGTTACAGAAGGTTTAGGATGAGTCAGCACGTTCTTTCCGGAGAAAATGACTCAAGATGGCTTTCATTGTTACAGCAATGCCACACAGTTTCAACAGACACTCAGTCCTTTCTTTCCATTTGACACCTTCTTTCTTCTTTATTTCTCACCTTAAGCAGTATGCTGATGGCGGAGGCCATGCCCACCATGCCTACGCCCACCACAGTCACCTTGTTCCTGCAGCCAACAGGCTCCTCCTTCATCACATGGCTAATCAGCTTCTCCTTGGTGGACATCTGTGAGAAGATGGAGCATAAGGGGAAAAAAGGGGGGAGTAAGTGAAAGGTGTTACGTTATAATTGTGACACAAATCTGTAATTTTTTGGCTTTCTGAGCCAACAATGAAACAAACGTGGATTTCCCCTTTTCAGCTCAACTCCAAAAACTCTTATTTCAGCAAACCACAAGTTCCTTCTTCACTTTAGGAGATCTACCAGTCTACCAGCCGCTTCAAGTTCACTTTCTTAAGTGGTTCACAGACAGCATTTCCTGCCCCACAGCGCCTCTAAGGGTCTCCATGGCAACCTGTGACTGTGTAAGTACTGCAGCCTGTCTCTGTGCAGCTCAGACTATCCCCCTGCTGACGTCACTCTCTACATTCAGTGTTTCCTGATCTGGGCATGGTTGAAGGCTCACTTTTACAGGCTACACCATCAGCATGACTCGGCTGCTTCTCTGTGATGTGGAGACAAGCACGTAGAGGAGTCTCCGCCAGGATTAATGGACTGTAATTCCTTCCTTCAGAGGGTATTTAAGACCTCTGCATGGTGGGCTCACACACAATACCAGGCTATAGAAAGTAGGACAGACATACCTAATATCCTGTTATCCAATTATCTGTCACTCAGAGGCGAGCTGAAAGCTTACAGCACACCAGCAGCTGACCCTGAAGGTGAGCTGGGTCTGTTCTCCACATGACAAGCCTTTATGATCTTACAGTGAGGGATTAATCTATGAGTTCAGTACTGTTGAATTATGCTGTATAAACCAGACAAATTACAAACGAAGCATGACTGAATGAGGATTACAAGAGGGATTATTAGCAGCTAAGAGAACTTTAAGGCGATGAAGTTAGAAAGAAAGGAAAGTGGATGTTTTGTGTCAAACTTTGGATTAGATGGATCTCGGGGACTTAAAATAAGTAGCTACTCATCACAGCTGGACAACCGCAACTGAGTTATGTATTCTTACATAATCACATTCCCAAGTAAGTATATGATCACAAACTGGCCATGGGGCCTTGAGCCCTCATGGGGTAGATCAAGTATCACTGCTGTGACTGAGAATACATCTAGTGTCTGTTCTTTCTCTAATTTTACAATATAAGATCTGGTCAAACTTTATAACCTTATCTTTCCACACACGATGAAGAGGTTTTACTTGGATGGAGTTATATGTTGTTTCTACAGCAGTAAACTGATCTTCTATAACTTTTAAAGACTGCGGGTGACTCATCCCCATGTGTGTACCAAATACAGCATTAGTTTGATTTGATCAGAAAATGCAATCTATACACAATTGCACATGATTATTAAAGTGCCTCTAATACATATCTGGGAGAAGTTCCAAAACTCAATTGGAAATTTATTTTTAGCTGCAGGCAGCTCTATCCTCTCAGGACATCAGCATCCTAATGGGCCTGCCTTGCATTTCCTGCACCAGACCTTCATCTATGGTACACGCTGTTGTCTGGAAGATGGTCGCCACGGGAGGCATGCGTGAGGACTTGTGTAACACTGCGTATATTACATCAACCAACAACACCATCTTCAGCAGTGGGGAAATCACCGACAGGTTGCTTTAGTTTAAAGGATAAAATAACATAGAGATGCTTTATACAGAACTACAGACAAAAGTGATTCATCACATGCCGATGATGATCCATCATTCATAAAATCTGAGATTTGACAACTGCGGTGTAGCTGCAACAAGTAGGGAACTTCCCTTACTGCCAAGCAGCCTCTGTTTTAACCACTCTATTTCACAAAAACTGACAAATATAAGGAAACCTGAGAGGTAAAGAGGCAGATACCAGCTTCTGTCACTTAATAGAACATCACTGCCGATATTTCGTACAGTGACACGCCCCTCTTGGTATCATCTAAATGCGCATCAGGTTAGTTAGGTCCCCTTTCGATAGTTAACTACGTACAGGTGGGTGGATAAACGTCAGCATTATTAATCAAACCTTAAGTATAAAGACAATATACTGTCCTGTGTTATAGCTGGAAACCTTTTCTTACCTTGAAGGCTCGGTTAAAAATGTGAAAACACGAGGTGGAATGTGTCTGCTCTTCCTGAGTGCAGCTTTTCCGCAGAAGTGGTGCCGTAGAGGCGGTGTTTCCCCGTATTTAAACACAGCCCTCCGCACGCACGTTACGTGCGTTCATACTAATGAGGGCGGGCCCGTCTGTGGCTGCTGCTGCGCGTGCTTTATGTCACGTCTGGAGCAGGATGCGGTAGGTAGTCATAGTGAGCGTTTCGATGGATGCTGGTGTAATTTTGATGAATTAAAACTTGGTCCTGTTTTTACCTCTGAAAGCGGCGACACGTGCACTTTCTGGGTCTGAATAATTCTTAGCATGTCTGTACAATCCAAAGACAATTTATCGGAAATGTACAGAGTGTCTCTCAGTAAAATACAACCCAGTCTTTGCAAGGATGGAGGACAAGATCATTGATGAAGAAAACGTCAGGTCACACGCCTTCAGTGGAACACGATGTAAACACGAGTGTTAATTCAGCCAGCACCCTCGCAGTTATAGTTGAAACACACCTGTTAAATTTTTGATTTAATTTTATTTTACGGTGTGCAATAAGCCACAGGAGGAAAAAAACGTGATAGTCACCCTCGTGCTGTGGGGATTTCTTATTCATGGGTCTGAAGTGACTCATGAACAGGATGCAACCTGAATTGGACATTTTGTACAACAGCTAAATTCTTCCTTTTCTGCCATGTTTTATGAATCCAAGTCCAGTGACATTTTTTTATTTTCATTTTTACTCCTTTTCTAACGATACTTGGCCGTTTTTACACACTATTTTGAGTATAGTTTCTTAATGGTCTCTTCAGAGTACCATGTGGTATCTGAAAATGTGAGGGATCCAGGGTGATGCCGTCTTTCTGCCACATCAACTGCATTTTAGCTCCCCCTCCTGTCTGCTGCTATGTACTACAAAACAAAGCAACATTACTCAACACTTCCTGGCCATTCTTGTTACATATCTGAGGATGTTTACAGTCTGATAGTGCTCATACAAAAGACAAGAGTTGTGCAAAAGTTACAGAATTAAATTCTTTTATATTGTTCTGAGTTAACTGTGCAGCTCACAGTGGAGCAAAAGAAGTTATGCTCCATTTCCACTCAGTTACATATGTTGAAGTCTAATGTTTGCACGTGGAAATTGTTTCTTTTTACAGTCTTGATTTATTCAATTGCGCGACTTTCTCAAAAATTCTGAGATTAAATACAAGCATCAAGTGTGGGTGAAAAAACGCCACTTTGTTGTTTAGTAGTTTATCCCTATTCCCTATTAAACTGCAGCAATGCATCTTACAGCTAGTTATCTCCCAAAGGACAAATTCTTGGAATATACAGGTACTGGTCATATAATTACAATATCATGGAAAAGTTGATTTATTTCAGTAATTCCAGTCAAAAAGTGAAACTTGTATAATGTATACATTCATTTCTCACAGACTGACATATTTCAAGTGTTTATTTTAATTTTGATTATTATAACTAACAAATAATGAAAATCCCAAATTCAGTATTTCAGAAAATTAAAATATTACTTGAGACTGATACAAAAAAAAAGATTTCTAGAAATGCTGGCCAACTGAAAAGTATGAACACAAAAGTATGACCATGTACAGCACTCAATACTTAGTTGTGGCTCCTTTTGCCTGAATTACTGCAGCAATGTGGCGTGGCATGGAGTTTATCAGTCTGTGGCACTGCTCAGGTGTTATGAGAGCCCAGGTTGCTTTGGTAGTGGCCTTCAGCTCTTCTGCATTGTTGAGTCTGGCATCTCGTATCTTCCTCTTCACAATACCCCATAGATTTTCCATGGGGTTAAGGTCTGGCGAGTTTGCTGGCCAATCAAGAACAGGGATACCATGGTCCTTAAACCAGGTACTGGTAGCTTTGGCACTGTGTGCAGGTGCCAAGTCCTGTTGGAAAATGAAATCTACATCTCCGTAAAGTTGGTCAGCAGCAGGAAGCATGAAGTGGTTTAAAACTTCCTGGTAGACGGCTGCGTTGACCTTGGACCTAAGGAAACACAGTGGACCAACACCAGCAGATGACATGGCACCCCAAACCATCACTGACTGTGGAAACTTGACACTCGACTTCAAGCAACGTGGATTCTGTGCCTCTCCTCTCTTCCTCCAGACTCTGGGCCCTTTATTACCAAAGGACATGCAAAATTTACTTTCATCAGAGAACATAACTTTGGACCACTCAGCAGCAGTCCAGTCCTTTTTGTCTTTAGCCCAGGCCAGACACTTCTGATGCTGTCTCTTGTTCAAGAGAGGCTCGACACAAGGAATGCGACAGCTGAAACCCATGTCTTGCATACGTCTGTGCGTGGTGGTTCTTGAAGCACTGACTCCAGCTGCAGTCCACTCTTTGTGAATCTCCCCCACATTTTTGAATGGGTTTTGGTTCACAATCCTCCTCAGGGTGCGGTTATCCCTATTGCTTGTGCACTTTCTCCTGCCACATCTTTTCCTTCCCTTCGCCTCTCTGTCAATGTATTTGGACACAGAGCTCTGAGAACAGCCAGCCGCTTTAGCAATGACCTTTTGTGTCTTGCCCTCCTTGTGCAAGGTGTCAATGGTCGTCTTTTGGACAACTGTCAGGTCAGCAGTCTTCCCCATGATTGTGTGGCCTACTAGACTGAGACCATTTAAAGGCCTTTGCAGGTGTTTGGAGTTAATTAGCTGATTAGAGTGTGGCACCAGGTGTCTTCAATATTGAACCTTTCCACAATATTCTTATTTTCTGAGATACTCATTGGGGGTTTTCATTGGCTGTCGGTTAAAATCATCAATATTAAAAGAAATAAACACTTGAAATATGTCAGTCTGTGTGAAATGAATGTATACATTATACAAGTGTCACTTTTTGAATGGAATTACTGAAATAAATTAACTTTTCCATGATATTCTTATTATATGACCAGTACCTGTAGGTTGAAGTTTTCATTATGGTGATGATGGCCCTTGAGGCTGAACTACTAGCAAATAGCAGAACACACTTGTGTATCGAGAAAAAAAACAGCCATAAGTTTCAGTAGATTACAGATGGATAGTTATGTGTACAGATAGCCAGATTTATCTTCCACTGTTTTTTTAGGCTTACTAAACTCACCTGCAAGGCTAGTGACATTGTGGGTGTAGAGCAGGACTCTCTGACAGTGGTGACAGAGAAGAAGATGCTGTCAAAGCTACATGTAATCTTGGACAGCATCTACCACCCACTCCATAACGTATAACTAAACTATAACTAAATGCACCACAGAGCATCACAGGATGTCATTTTTGCCTGTGGCCATCAAACTTTATACATCCTCCTTCTCAGTGTCAGTCACTCTGTCTGGCTCTGGATGTATTCTCATAGCTGTAAGCTTCTCTACTATATATAATTACAGTCAACTGTGCAATCAATTAAGCTACAATGTGCAGTAATCCATTTAACTGTGAAATACTCTGTGCAAACTGGTTTTGTATACACTCCCTACTCTCCATTAATATCTGTATTGTCAAGAGCAAGTGTAATGCTGTTACCACCATATAGAGAGCAGAGATCAGAGTGCAAAATATAATGTACCATGCATCTAAATTCTGCGTTTACAACTTGATTGTTTATCTTTTTTTATTTTACAAATGGATGTGGGATCTGGCAAACTCAGACCAAAAAAAGTGTATGTAATCAGGAAATTCAGTCACTGTTGTTGTGTATTTAGCCAAAAAGACCACAGTAAAACACAGTTTCAGATTTTCTAAATTTTATTGAATTTATTACAATACCCAGCTTTTCTGCACTTTCTTTGCCGTAATCATATTGATATCTATTTATATTTGCACTTTGCATGCCCAGGCTGTCAAAAAGACCCCTGGAGCTGCAGCTGTCCTGGCTTAATACAGGCATCACACCTGCAGGAGGCGCTGTCATAAAGGCAGTAAAAACACCTTGAGATGTCATTTCTTGCTGATATCACTGTAAAATCATGGGCTTTGTTGAGAAAATTTCCTTGGAGGCGTTAAGTTACTTATTAGATTTGATCCTAGCCCTGAATAAGCTAATGGGGGGGTACCATGATCTGCTGCTATTGAAGAGTGCCAGGGCAGGGTCCTGATCTTGACTGATTTAAAAAAAAATAAAAACTGTATCTAAATGATTCAGATGTGAAACTAATTCTTTTCCCATTTTGAGTCATCTTAACTTTTTTACTCATCTTGCAGGGGAGAAAAAATGGATAAAAATTGCATCTACTGTCTTCATTCAACAGAAGGCCGCTAGGAGTTTTAAGTGTGCTTGCATCTGTGACTCATTTATTCATTCAATTCGCTTGAGTGTTAAAAGTGATTTATTATTCAAAAAAAGGGAGAAAACTCACAGTCCAATACTGATCCAAATCCAAACTTTTGCCTTTAAATCAGAGGTGATATGATGAAATGAGGGTAGATGGATGAGTGAAGGATGAGCTCACTAAAACCCATTGTCTCTGACTACACTGGTGATTTTAGTGATTCCTGTCAGTAATGTACTTATTGGAAATATCAAAACCTCAACATATACATTTTGGCTCCTACAAAACTTATTGATTTGTATTTTTTTTTTCAGTGTATTTTCCTTGTGATTTTTCCTGGTGTTTCTGTTCCTCGTTGTTCCTGTTCTCCTGAGGTCCTGTATTGTGAGTATTCGGTTTGTGTCTGAACCTCCTTCCCTCTTGTTCTGTGTTTATTCTCTATTATCAGTTTCCAGTGGTTTCTGTTTTATTTTGAAGTAGTTTATTCCCTGTGTTTCTAGTCTTGTTTTACTTCCTTAGTTTTCCCTCCTCTGTAATTGTCTGCACCTGTGTCTCACCTGTGTCTCGTTGCTCGTTTCCCTGTGTGTGTGTGTATATAGTCCTTGTCTTCCCCTGTTTCTTTGTTGGTTTATTGTCTGTCGATGCCACTGTGTGACTCCAGTATTTCTGAGTGACTTTTTCCTCCCTGTGTCTTTTGTTGGATTTTGGATTCTTGGTTCTTTGGATTTTTTTATTTGTGTTTCTTGGGATTTTTTGAATTTGACTATTTTGAAAGTAAGTTTTTGTTGCTTCTCTCAATTTGTTGCAATTTGGGTCCTTTCTGTTTTATTTTACTCCTGAACCTGACATTACCAGTACAATGAACAGCACCTAATGCCACTTTGTCCACAGGGAGCATCAAAATAAATATAAAATGACTGTCCTAACAGCTACTTTAAGTTTAGATTTTATTTATTTATTTTTTGTTTTAAAGTAATCCCAATCTAAATGAAAAGTATTGAACAATACAAACTGGAGGTTTAAATCGGGTTCTAGCAGATCACAGCTTTAAAAAATGTAGGTTTTTCAAGACTTACTTTGCAGTTAAAGTAGATGGACTAATGTAAAAATGTATTTTATCCACAGATCTGCACTTATCTGACGATAAACTGAAAGTATTGTATCTAATCCCTGGGTCTTTTCCTCTTCATAGCACTCCCAGCTCTTTCTTCAATCAGCATCCATCACAAGGGCTCTGGCTTGAAATATAATAAAGACTTCAGTAAATTGTGTGCAGGTGCTTCAGTGTTTGACTTTGGCTGAGTAAAACTCTGCCAGAGACAGATGAAGTTTCATTAGAGGCTTGTGAAATCATACTTCATCTCAGTTGTTTAATGCCCTCACTTTGCCTGCAGCAATGTTTTCCAAACTTTCCCCGACTCTGCAACTCCTTGTCCTTGCCTCTGAATTACTCGTCTGTATCTCCATCTTCCGCCTCGTCTCTCAATGGTCTCTGGAGCGAGTGCCAATCTAATCACAGCTCGCCCCCCAGTGGAATACAGAAACACCAGTTTGTCATGATGCTCCCCCCCCTAACACTCCGGGGTCAGTTTGCCAGCATGCTGTTATTGCACGGGGCATTGGGACCGTGGTGTGTCTACTATGGGTGATATCCTACCTGTCCCAGCCTGCCATGTATTAGAGAAGAATCTAATCACCCCGCCACAGCTTCCTCCTCCTCCTCCTCCTCCTCCTGTTTGGAAATAGAACTGAGGCCGAGGAACAAGGCCACATCAATCATAAAAGGATCCTCCTGAGAGTGCGATCACTCTCACAGCTCTGTCAGAACAACATCCAACCCACTGACGGACACATCCTGGAACACAAACATTTACTCACAGTCCTGTCTGATTTCGGTTACTTTTTTCCCTTGCTAATTTGCCCTTCCTTGTCTTTCAACATGCATCAAACACACTTTTTCTTCTTTTCCTTTTATCCTGCAATCACCTTCCTCCCCTTCATGTCTTTTCCTTCCCTCAGACTCCCTTCCCTCTGCTTCCTTTATACTGCCTTCCAGTTTCACTCCACGCACACCTTCTGTCTCCGATTGATAACATCCCTGATGGAGCTCCTTTATTAGCCACCCACAGGCAGATTAACCAGAGCAATAATACACCAATCAGCTGCAATTACTCCCTGATAAGCCCAGAGAGAGCTCTGCAGGGTGCGGGGAGAGGATGTAGCAGTTGTAGAGTGATTGGGAGTCTTTAGTGTAGATTTAAAGGTTCTGTGTCTGTGCATACATTTACACGTGTCATATGACTATGTTTAATTCTCTGTGTGTGTTTTTTTTAGCTTGCACATTTAATCCCATCATAAGGCAAATATAATTATAATCAGATGTGGATCAGTCCCAGTCTTCTGGTCCTCATCAGGTGTTAATTGAGCTCATGATCAGACAGGCTGTATTCTCATCTGCACAGCCTCAGAGTTATTACTGAAAATATGTGCATGTGTGCAACAAGGCGGCTGAATAGAGAGGGCTTTGAATCAATATGCTGCAACATTGCTGTGTGACTGTGCCATTATGGTCAAAGACATCCCTTGTCCCATCATTATAGTAAATTAAAATACTTAAATTTTGGCTCTTGTTAGTTTTTGCACTTCTGTGCCTGAGCAGCAGTCTGGCATTGTTATAGTGCGGCTAAATGGGGATGAAAATGAGAGGAAGGGTAGATATGAGTTTCCAGCCTGCAGGCATCCACAGTACCAGCCAAGTCTGATTTCAAGAACAGCTGCGTCGATTTAACCTCGCTTTATTTTTCCCTTTTGTGCACACACAAACATGCAGTCACATGCATTTAGGTATAAACTCATGTATGTTCACGCTTGATGTGCATGCATGCACACAAATGAGCAGACCAAAGACCCCCTGAAGCTGTTTACTGCTGTTCCCACCAATCTTTCTATTCCACATTCACTTTACACCAGGAAACTCGCCAAACTGTGTGTGCGGGTGCATCAGATTAGTTCCCCCAACTGGCTTCAGAAACAATGATCCAACTCTTGTATCAAAGCAGATCTCCAATTAGACTTTGCATATTTCATTTGGGCTTTTTCAGATTAAGGCGCCACAGATTTGATTAATTCTTGCAGTTTCAATGTCAAAAGGGCCGGGGTGTAATTCTGGAAATTGGCACAGAGAAACTCAGAGTGTGTATGATCTTTCTTTCACCTTGTTTTTCTTGAACGTGTGTGTGTCTCGTGTCTCCAACCTTGAGGTGTCTCAGTTCCTAACCTTCAAAAGTTAATCCTAGAGCAAAAAAATAAAGCGTACATTTACCATTACTTCGAGCATGAAATTAAATACATTACATTTGGCCGTCTCTGGTCTAATTATTTCTGAGGATTTATGATGGTGTCAGTGGTATTTGTTTAAAGAAAGTGTGTGTACACCATGTTGTTGGCTGCGGCAGGAGGCCTCACATTCTTTTACATGTCACTGGGGGAGCTTCTGTCTCCCAGTCCAGTGACCTTAACACCTGTGATTGATACTGGGAAAGGAGGAGTGTGTATGTGTGAAGGCATGTACTACCCATGGTGTGTGTGTGTGTGTGTGTGTATGTGTGTGTGCAAGGAGGGGTAAGGTTAATTGAAGTTGTTAGAGTGAAAATGATTCCCTCAGGGGGACTGACATAGCAGGTGGAGGCAGTTGGGTGGGATCAGCAGTGGGTAACGAAAAAAGGAGGAAAAGAGGGAATGGGGATGGGGTGGGTGGGGGGTCAAAGGGATTGCTCCTGGAGCCCGGCACTCACAGGCAGTGATACATGAAGACAGAGGGATAAAACGATTCATCTAAAGGTCAGGTATGTCCTCTCCTCCCTCAGCGTGACTCCATATATATCCCTGGGTTTCTTTTTGATCATTGTGTTATTTCTGTCTCTTTTTGTTTTTGTTTTGCAGACAAATTACCATTTCTTCCAAGTATGTCCATTTAATTTACACAACAATCCACCTCCCCCTCCACCCCCCTCAGTTTCCTGTCTTACACAGTGTACCTGTCTATCTCCTGAGCTGCCTGTCCATCCGTCTCCTCCTGTGGCCTTTCCCCTCTCCCTCCGTACCAACCTTCATTTCACAGATGACAGGCTGGCGGACTGTAATCCAGCAGATGCCGGGGCGGGGAGGCCTGACCAACTGTTTTAACTCCAATCAGCTTTTATTGCTCTCTGGAGGAACCCCACACAACCCCCTGCCAGCCTGGCATTTTAGCTAGGAGGAGAGAGGACAGAGAAAATAGCACCTTTATGCACTATGTGTATCTGAGTGAGGATATGTGTGTGCTGATTAAGGCAGGGAGGGGGCTGATGGGAAAAAAGGGGTGACAGTCATTACCCCCTGTGCCTAGTGTGGGGCCAAACTGCTGGCTTCAATCAACTTGGACTCACAGGCGTGTGTGTGTTTATGTGTGTGAGAGAGTCAGAGAGACAGTCCAGCAACAGCGGGGATGAAGATGTTGCTGGTAATGCATCTGCCACTGCTGTTCGTCCCCGACAGCCCAAGCCACCCCTGCATAGTCCACGTCTGTCGCCTCCCTTCAATTCTCCATCCATCTTTCTCTTTACCCTCTTCTCCATTCTCCACCCTCGGTCTTCCTCCATCCCTCCCTCTGAGACAGAGACAAAAGCCACTGCAAGTTCCAACAGTGTGACTTTGAAGCTATTGTCCTGACAAAATGCGCCTGTTTTGTTGTTTTTTTGTTACCTGACGAGGTTAAATTACTGTTTTTTGCTGACCAGTTATGCGTTTTGTCTTTAAGTAATATTTGAAAATATTCTTTTTGCTTAAAATCCTAGTTTTAATGAGTAAGGATGCTTAAAAAATGGCATATTGTCATGGTTGACTGTTTTACAGACAAATAGACCTCCTAGAAGAGTGGAAGAGACAAGAGACATAAATTAAGACCAACACAAGAGTCATTGAACTCTCCATAATCATCAATCTGTCAAGCCAAATAGACTGTTTCACACAACTATGGCACTGATATATCTAACATCCAACTGGGAAACATATAAACAGTGCTGGGGACAGGCAGAATCCTCAAACTTGGAGTATGATTGAGTGAATGCTCATGTCCATTAAAGACCCACTCTAATGAAAATCGTGTTCTTCTTGTTGTCTCCATGTTCATGTAGCACTTTTCTGATGCTACTGGACATGTCACAAGAAAAATAAGTGCAAACTTGCATTTCTAAGTATTTCTACATTCAAATCGCTTTGAATCTCTGGCAGACCCAAATGGTAGGCTCAGATACAGTGAGATTTCTTATGTCACAAATCCAAGCTCTTAGCCTGGAGCCCCACTATGTAGGCCAGACTTGGAGAAGTAAAGAGAGGACAATCATGGAAAACAAGCACGTTACGTGACAATGTACATTAGTGTGCTCATAAGCTAATTATGATATTAACTTTTATCATGCCTCCAAAGACATTAGTGTCCAAGAGCTGAATAGCTCCGATGTAACCTGCCACTTCTACTACACTGGCAATGTTAGCAACAAGCCAGCATGAAGACGAGTGTGCAGAGCAGAGCTGACTCCGCCCACAACTCAGAGACGAATTGCTTATGAGCTACTGGAGCTCTGCAGAAGAAAAGTCCTTGAAAATGACACAGGTGACATGATTTTGGCTGAAAACTTCATCACAATTTAAAGACCACTGAGAACACTTAAAGTAGTAAAAAAAGTGGCCAGAGAGGGACGTCAAAGGCCAATTGGAGAAACCAAACATGGGTCATAGGAAGCCTGTCGCACCACTAAAGACTAAGCCACACAACACAAGCTTGATGTTCACCCGTCTTTAATGTTTGCTGTTTGCTTCACCTATATTAAGTCCAAAGACAATCATTTAACAGTAATTAATAAACAGCTTTATTTTTATTTCACTCGCCATTTTTAAGCAGCATTAACCCCATCAGTGATGCGCCCCACTTAGCTTTCCCAAGGCATGCCTATATATTTTTCGTTTGTTCTGATAAATAGCTGCATCTATGCTGATCTCTTCATTGTACACCATTGCTCACAGGCTCACCACAGCTGAACACATCCACAGTTCCCGCCTCTTTCTCTTCAAATCAAGCTGACTGGTCGTATCATTCTCTAATCAGATACCAGTCTGAAGCTTTAGAAGGTGGATCTGCCTGCCTGACCAGTTTGTCTTCTTTTCTAGGTTTAATATACCACAAGTTGTTTTCTCAAGACAGGAGAAGTTGTGATAACCCGAGGTACCTGTACCATTTAACCAATGAGTTAAAGTGTTTGTGTTTTGGTTTGCAAAAAAGGGGCCATTTTTCCCGTAATACTAGCTTCAAGAGTTGTTCTCTCCTGTGGCTCCAAATGTCTGGCATGTCAATGCCCATCAGATTACCTTAGCTTCTTTTTTGTACAGTAGGATGAGGTATATAGTCATATATATGACTACACATATATAGTCATCTCATGCTATGTAGACAGTTTTATGTTGTTGTCATTTTCCCTCTTGTAATTCAACCTGGTCCTTATGTGGACTGTAAATACTATACCCTCTTTGTAGATGTAAATCAGTCAAGGTTTCCAACATATACACATTCAAATGTGTTCAAATGGTCCCCAGCTCATATATCTACAGATCTTCATTGTGTTCAGCTCAACAGCACAATAGCAGACATCTAGAGGCCATTAGTCATTCTGTAAAAGGGTTACCTCTGTTAACAGATGATTAATGAGGTTTTAGTGCTCACTGTAGAGCCGTGGAACACTTGAACTCTGCAGCCCGACCTGCAGGCTATTAAATCCAGTGAAGACCATGGAAACAATTGGGGTACGTGTGTAAATTCCTTATCTATTCATAAGGTGCAAACCTCTGTTTTTATTACATTTTTGAAATGGTTATAGAGTTATTCTTTTAAGGTAACTGATTCCTTAGATCACAGATCCATCTACTGAAAATGAAAAGACAACACAGCAAGACAAACTTCACCCAAAGGTAGCATCAAAATAGCAAAAAATAGAAAAGGGGGAGGAGGATGACCTTTAAACAGCAGGTCAGAGATATCTTTATATTCAGTCATCATAAAACCTGTGTTCAGTATACCCTTCAGTAAATGCTGCACTTGGCTAAATCTTGACATTTTAGTTTTTGTTCTTTGTTGATTATTACTTTAGTGGCTGGGTTTATTTGCTGCTATTTGGTTAAGAGGTCATGCAATGAAATTTCTCTTATACATTCAGATATCCTCTCTGATATTGCTCAGCGTTTTTCCAATTTTAGTCATACCGAATTGTCATCCAACCTTCAAACAATGTTGTGACTGACTTTGTGTGATGAGGTGGGTGAAACAAATTAAATTCCTTCGTAAACGGCATTTTGAAGCAAACATCCTCTTTGCAAGTTCAAAGCAGGTGCAGAGAGCCCTGTGCAGCATTGGAGGCTGTCTTTTCTGAACAGAGAGGTCCATCATTAGTCTTCATGTTCTCTCTCGTTTTAGAAAATGTTTTGCTTCGATTATCCTGTTGGCAATAACAAGACATGTTTAATATCCCCAAGGAACATTACTTTAGATGCTTGGAAGTTAGTCGTTTCTTGTGAGATTACTCCATCACACCTTGCCTTATTGTGATTGCTATTATTTTCACTGGAGTGTAAAATGCAAAGCCTGCGAACGATCATTACTCTCTTAACTGCTGTGTTTCTTCAACATGAGATAACAAGCATCTTCTACTTCAGTGTACATGAAACATGATGTGCAATATGCTTTTCTTCCAAGTAAGTCCATTAAACCATGTACTGCACACATAGCCAGGTTCTAAAGGTTGGAGCGGATGACATTGCCTGAGGCAGATTTCAAATTGGCCAGAGAGAAAAGCTTGCATTCATGTGTGAGTCATTTTCAAGGGTACTCAGCCAATGTACAACAAGGAAAGGTCACCTGTGTAGCCAGCCCCACAAGCTACTACTCTTACCAAGGACTAAATGGATATTGGCAAATTGTCACTGCTTTTAAAAGTGGCAGTTTTTTCTCTCTCTGGTCAGGAATCTATAAAATATACAGTATGTGACCGGATGTAAAGAGGGAACTGTGGATGGTCATATTTATGCTTAACTGGGGAAAAAAAAGAACTTTTTATCCAGATTTATGGATAATGAAATCAAATGAATCATGCCTGAAGGTAATACATAAGCAGGACAAGGGGCTTAAAAATTGAAAAGCCCAACAGGTGACTGTTGCTTGACATGTGTTTCAAATTGGCCACAATGAGACACCAAATAATGAAATATGACACAATATAATGTGATATGATTCTATATGATATATAATTGCTACCATTTGATTCTATACAATACACTATGATAAAATATGCAACACTATCCTGCAGTATTTAAAACACAATGACTCCTGATTAAGAGAGGATTTCATTGGATACAAAATGTAACAACAGGACACAACCATAGACTGTAGATAGACTGGACGCCATCCGCCTCCTCACTGGGTGAAGCAACCGTTAGAACAGTACCCTCTGGTGACGGGCTGCAGTAATGTTCATAAATCCCGCCTCCTCCAGCAATCCCTATGGAGCTGTGGACAAACTCAGTATTCTTTTTTCTGTGCAGCTCCATGTTTTAAAAAGTTATTAGGAGGTTCATGTTTTCTATGATTGACATTTTATACAGCCTATGGGTGTAAGAAGATTGCGTAGCGACACCACAGCAACTCTTGGCAACTATCCCGCCGAATGCGTACAATGCTACTGCACAATGTTGGTAGCAGGAAGTGGAGAAAAAACCTGGAAATACTGAGAGCTTTTTGGCTTCAGATTCATATAATGATGGAAGACGGAACCAACTTGTCCATAGTATATACAGTCTATGAACACAACACAACTCAGAATACATAAGCAAAGAATATAATGCCATACCATACTGTAAGATACAATACCAAAGGATACGACACAATATCATGGATAATGCTATAAAATGAGATATGTTATGATGTAATGCAATACGTTCCCATATGACACAATATGATGTGATATGATATGATATGACACAACAAGATACGAATATGTTTTAATTCAATATGGTATTAAATGATGCAATACAAGATTCAATGGTGTGATATGAGATGATATAGTATGATAATATAAGATACAGTACAATAGGATATGATCTGATGCAATCAAAAATTGTTCGACAAAACAAAATATGCAACTGTGCCATACGAAACGCTTCAATTCATAAGACAGGATTTGCTACCTTTAAAATTTTAAAATGATAAAGATAATTTATTATACCAGATAAAATAAGATATGGTCTGAAACAATACTTTGCATACTGTATCCTTTTTTTTACTACAAATATTTACAAATACAAAAGACAGAAACAAAAAACTCTAGTATGATCTCCTGAAGCATGGAGTGATTATAAGAGATAATATTCTGGTACTCAAAGGGTGCTGTGGGTTTCTTTAATCTCTAACTGGTAATGAGCCCCAGAGACAACAAGAATTGTTCGTGCTACAATGAGTGATTAGTAAATTTATTACAACTAAATGTAGTTGTTTTAGTCCTTCACCCCACGCTGCCACTAAATGTCCCTGTGATTAGTGAGGCGCACGCAGCCAGTCTAATTATCCGACTCCACAGCCA